AAAGAATGAGTTTGCAGATACTCGCCAGACTAATCTGTACCTTAAAACTTTGTATATAAAGTGAGAAAAACAGCATCTATAGGGTGAGGGAATGATTAGAACTTTATAAAATACAAAACATTTTGCTCAACATTACCGTACTAGACTACATCTGTTTTGTAATGGTTTTGGTTTTCCACCCAGAGGGAAAGACTGCTTTGCAGAGAGAAACAGAGACAGGTTTGAAAACAACAAAACTATAGATTTGGGGGGTATGGTGCCACCAGCAGGTCAATCTGTACCTGTGAGGTGAGTGCATCAGCAGCCTGATGGCGCCTTCAGACTTCCAGAAACCCCAAAATTGCTGCTGTGCCTTTGGCCAGACCCCAAAAACTTGGGGCAAAGTTTACCAAGAAAGTAAATGGCCAAAAGTTAGGTATGTGGGAAACACACCCACAAACCACCTCCGGTTCAGCTATATAATTGTAGGCATGGCCTCATCTGATTCCTGATTGAACTGCTTAATGGTCATGATCTCAGAGACTCAGAAGCAAATCTTGAAACCCAGTGGCTTTTGGCAGAAATGTGTCCAGTCCCTGCAGTAGGTTACTGGTGCTGGGCCAAACCAGGTGGGAATAGGTTTCGTGCCTTGGCCTGTTCCCCCTGGTGGCTCGGTGGCCGCCATCCTCCAGAGTCCACTGGACAGTCAGGTTTGGCCTGCAGTGACAAGACACATTGGGCCTAAGGGATGGGGATGAATCCAGTCCTGTCCTCCCCAACCCAACAAGACTTCAAATCATCGCCCACGAATGGCCTCTCTGGCTTCTGATCAAGCTGCTTAACGACCATGATCCCAGAGACTCAGAAACAAATCTCGAAACCCAGTGGCTTTTGGCAGAAATGCGTCCGGACCCCACAGTACGTTACTGTTGCCGGGCCACCCCAGGGGGGAAACGGTGTTGTCCCTCTGCCTGCTTGCCCCTGGTGGCTTGGTAGCTGTCATCCTCCAGAGGCCATTGGACAGTCAGGCTTGGGCCCGCAGTGACAAGACATTTTGGGCCTCACGGGATGAGGGTGGAGCTGGTTCTGTCCTCCCCACCCCAATGAGACCCCAAGTCATCGCCCACGAACGGCCTTTTTGACTCCTGATCAAGCTGCTTAATGCCCATGATCCCAGAGACTCAGAAGTAAATCTCAGAACCCAGCAGGTTTTGGCAGAAATCCTTTCAGATTTAAGTGTTAAAATTTTGGAATTTTAAAATTGCGCAGCCACTACTGCAGCCACGTGACATCATATGTTATTCATAACCAGCAATAGAAAACAAATTGTCTACTGTTGCCTTTTCAGCAGATCTGAGTGTTGGGGTAAAATCTCAAATTATAATGGTAGGTCTGGTGTCAAAATATTGAATGTGATCAAAGTAGAGAGAGAAAGTAATGTGGAAATCATCTGCCTCACAGGTAGGGGGAGGGTGTGGGATGGGGGTATACTGGAGTTGTTGGGGGTGGAGAATGGCCACTGGTGAAGGTACGGGTGTTTCATCATATGATCGAGCCTTAGACCCGAAAGCTTTGTAACTGCTCTCACGGTGATTCAATAAATAAAATTATAAAAAAATGAAAAAAAATTAAGGTGGAGTTCATGCACAATTCAATCAGCTAATCAGTGGCTGAATAAATAGCAGTACTCCTACATTAAAAAAAATCTATAGATTTTAGCTTTTTTTATAAACAGCATACTGTTTCTTTTATACAGGATAATTTATATTAGCATGAACTAAACACAAAGCTCTAAATAGATCATCGCTTTTCCTGGTCATTTTCTGCAAACATGTATATGGACACTTCTGAGAGCCAGTAAAGCCACAGACGGCACAGACAGGTTTCCCTTCTCAGATCATTAGCGGTTTGACGAGGGAGCCAGTCAGGCTGCCTCACTGTGGGTAAGAGCTGCCCACTTAGAAGTGAACCTTCAGGGGGTCACTCAAATATTTTGGACCCAGTGACTGCCCTCTTCTCTTCCTAGCCCTTGTCAGGAGAGCAGGGCTCTGCCCTCGGGCTTGGTTACCTCTCCACATTTTTCTATTCCAAAGTGTCCGATATTTCTTTCTAAGGAAATAATCCATACCAGAAATATTCCCTAGCTAAACATTTGGTACCCAGGAACTCTCATTAGGACCTCTCTTCTGGGCCATTAGCACCCTCAACCCCAACGTCCAAGGCATAGAGCACCCACCTATGTTTGTTCACAGGCAGAGACCTTCTAGGGTGGAGCCCCCTCTCCACTGTCTGATATTTTCTATGGGCAGCAGTGGTAAATGGTCCACATCTCAGTGAGGTATAGCACATCTGCCGAGATGGAAAGGGATCCCGCTTAAATAATTCAGTTTCACCCGATGCCTGACTTTCTTTTCTAATTGATCATAATATCCACTCACAGCTCCACAGTCACAGAGAGAGGGAGTGACTAGGATCCTGCTTCCTGCTTCCGTTCTTATAGCACTGATTATCAAGTCACAGCCTTCACACCTGCCGAAAGTCCCATGGTGCTTTTCAGCACCGGCACAGGTCAGAGTTTCTGCCATGATAATTTGATTACAATGGCTTGACTTGGCAACCCACTCTCCACTCTTGCACAAACTGTCTCTAAGACCAAGACGTAATCTTTAGAATAATGAATTTCTTGGGGGTGGGGTGGGGAGGTAATGTTGGAGTGGTGGGAAACCAGAGCTCTCTGATCCTTTTACCTGTCAGGGCCATGTGAATTACTGAGGATGAGGTCACTGAGGAGCAAGGCAAGAGCAACCAAGTCTCAGAAACACAGCGACTTGCAGCTCTGGGCTGGGGTTGGTCTTTAACCTGCCTCTAATCCAAGTTTGGCAGGTTGCTTGGTTTTAATGTAAACACAATGTCCTGGGATTAACGAAGGCTTGTCTCTTGCCTTTGGCAAATACAAAATTCATTCCTGTTTGACTGTGAGATCATACTGACCATCCCACCTTAAGCTGTGTAATTAGAAAGTTTTCAGAAGCAACATTTTTGTTCTGCGGATGTGTCCAAGATCTGGGTTTGCTCTCCTCATCATAAATCTCAGTTTTCTCATCTATAATGGGGGAATGAGAAATTCTTCCTGATCAATCCTGGAAAGTTGTGCAAGTGAAATGATCTAGTGGTTGTGTAAAACCTGGTGCACACCTCTTGTAGGCTTTGCCAGTCCGGTGAATGCAACACAATGCTCAGGTGAGAAGAACAGTTCTGGTTTAGAAAAAGATATTCAGGGCTGCCATCTCACTGCTAAGGTGGACATTGTAAGAGGAAACATTTATTTCTGTACCAAGGGATACAATGACTGTGCAACCTATTTTAATGCTTCTTCACACCCTAGTTTAAAGCCAGAAGCAATAAGGTACATTTGTGATTGAGAAACACCATGTTCCCAGAGTTCTCTGCCACCAAAGTCATCAACCATGCTCAAAAGATGAGACGGGGAAAGGAACATTTAGAGATCTGATTGAGAAACAGCAAAGCTTGCTTCAAATGCAGACCAACACACTTACACCCTGATCAAAATATCGTTTTAGAATTTGATGTTCAAAATGAAAATTGGAGCTTCTACTTAAAATAGAATTTTAATTTTGTTCTCCTAGAATTTAGTTTTGTCTTGTGGGCTAATAAAACTCTAGGTGCTTTCTATGCTGGGTAAATTTAATGCAAAAAATTTTAACAGTGATTTTAATGTGGGAATCTTGTTTATCTAAGAATTAAATTCATCCTTAATCTTAAAAATGGTATATAATGGGGGGGGGGATTTGCATCAATGACAATATGCAATTTTGTAGCACAAGACATTTTCTCTCAAAAATATGGGAGCAAGTAGGGTTCATGAGATAGTACAGTGGATAGGGCACTTGCCTTGCATGCAGAAGACTTGGATTCGATCCCTGACATTCCATCCATATGGTTCCCCCCGAATTGCTAGGATGATCCCTGATCTCAAAGCCAGGAGTAAACCCTGAGCAAAAAAAAAAGGTAGGGTGGAGGGAGGAGCAGAGGAATAGCTATTCTTGGGACTAGGACTACAAAATGAGGGGGTTTCCAAAACACAGGTGTTCGCAGGGTCAGGATTCTAGACCAAGATTTCTCTGTGCTATGTGCCACTTTCCTTTCTTTAATAGCAATAAAATTTACATAATGTGTGGGTACATGATATATATATTTTTTAATGAGCCCTTATTCAAAACTCAAGAGTTTCAAGATGGTGACAGAAAAGGCATTAAACCAAAAAACCCTTCCAGACATGGAAGGAACATTAAACCAAAAAAACCCTTCCAGACATATCTCTGTGTGATAACAAAGGTCATGTGCCCACAAAGACCACCCTAAGTACATAAGACTATAGTTTCCAGCAACTTCTCTAATCTTTGGTTAATAAGATGAGTGTGATGAAAGAGTTGTATGCCACTTTTGGGGTGAGGCAGTGACTATTCCTTGAGTGATGTTCATCTTTCCCCATCCTAAGAAACATGGAGTCCATGAGTAGAGTGTCTGGAGCTATTAGATAGAAGGAATCACCATGCTAAGGAGAGCTATTCCAGAGATTCATCTGATCCAAGAAAGATGTAGTTCCATATTGTCACTGAAATATGGGAGTAGATTATTTCTATAGTGTTGATTTAGCCTATCCTTTCTGCTGGAGGGGAAGCCAAGATGTAGAGGGAAAGATCTCAAACATGAAAATTTCTATAAATAAAAGGATAGTAGACAGTGATGGTTATGTGATGGCTCCCAAGTATTTCCCCCCACCATTGATTAAATAGAAATGCAAAAATGATCTTTAACAGGTTTCAATTCTATGACTATACATAGTGCTAATTTCCTCATTTAGAAAATATATCAGCTAAAATGAAAGATTACATAGTCTCCTTCCTCTTTAACATTCCAATCTCTTGGCCCACTGTTATCCTTGGTTTGTTATTGGTTCACTGGATATCTCAAATGTTTTCAGAAGCCAAGAAGAAAGAACTCTTCTGTGGCAGTGTTCCGCTCTGGAAAAAGCATCTTATCAAACAAACTTTAATTAGTCACTATGATTGGATAATTTTTGATTCCCAAAACTCCAACTGATACTGTAAGAGTCTTGTTGCTTAAAAAAAAATCAAGAAATTGACCCCACTTGTCACCATTTCTTCTTGACATCCATTTGGATTTTCTTCTGCTTCACAGTTGTTCCTCATTGCTCTCAAACACGGGATTGCTGTAAGAGACTCCCCTGCCACATCTCGGTGTGTCAGAGTAAGAGGTTTGGTTTATTGGAGGCCAACTGGGATCATTTGCCAAGTCTCTCTGCCATATCCGATACTGGCTTTTTGATTGATAGCCAAAACATTTTTTGATTATCATCCACAGGGCTTTGTTTTCAATAATGGCCTCCTGCAAAATAAAAAAGCACAGCGGTAGGGCATTTGCCTTGCGCGCAGCCAGCCCAGCCAAGCCGGGTTCAATTCCTCCGCCCCTTTCGGAGAGCCCGGCAAGCTACCGAGGGTATCTTGCCTGCATGGCAAAGCCTGGCAAGCTACCTGTGATGTATTCTATATGCCAAACACAGTACCAGAAGTCTCACAATGGAGACGTTACTGGGACAGCTTGAGCAAATTGATGAACAATGGGAGGACAGTGCTACAGTGACAGTGCTACTGTGTACAATTGGAGTTTTCAGGCTACAGTCTAGTATAGAATAGAAAGCACTAATGCTCAGATCTAGCTTAGATCTAGCGTAGTGAAGAACTTGAGCCCTGGGGGGGAAATTCCAGGTCATTTAATGGGGTAGTCTTGCTACTCAGAATTTTTCACTTATGGAACTATTGGGAAGTAACATAGTTTCAAGAATCTGGAACCACAGCATAAGGTAATCTTTCTCAAGGACAACATTTCTTCTGAATCTCATAGAAAAGCCTAATTCTCCATTTACCTCCAAATTTACTCCATGACACACCTGTATTTGAAATAAGGTAAAAGGATATTTTAAAAATATATATTTGGGGGTTGAAAGTAGTACAGGGGTAATGTGCATGCCTGGCATGCTACCCACTAAGGTTCAATCTCCAGCACCACCCCAGAGCACCACCGGATAAAACATGAATACCAATCACCACCACCTGCAACACAATATCCACACACACACACACACACACACACACACACACACAACACACACACACACCCTAATTTATCTACTGCCAAATGGAGATCCTTTAGTCACCATGATTGGATAATTTTTGATTCCCAAAACTCCAACTGATACTGTAAGAGTCTTGTTGCTTAAAAAGTATCTGCTATGGAAAATAAATTTCCCTATTTAAATCGGTGGTTAAAAGTTATTTATTCCCCTTATGATTGTAGTAGTGAGTCTTAATTCCACTTGTAATGGAGGGCATAGCATGGAGTAGACCCTTCACCAACCTTCTAAACTATTAACTATGAATGGTGGTTCTGTCGACATATGCCTCTGGTCTTCACCTGTGAATATTTTATTGCAATGAATTTTTAAAAATTCCAACATATAGGGTCCTCATAGGCAGGAGCAATAGCACAGCGGTAGGGCGTTTGCCTTGCAAGTGGCCAACATGGTCGACCTGAGTTTAATTCCTCTGCCCCTCTTGAAGAGCCCAGCAAGCTACCGAGAGTATCTGGCCTGCACGGCAAAGCCTGGCAAGCTACCCGGGATGTGTTCGATATGGCAAACACAGTAGCAATTGTCACAATGGAGACGTTACTGGGCCCACTCAAGCAAATCAATGAACAATGGGAGGACAGTGACAGTGAAAGGGTCCTCAAAGATTTGTAAGTATTTCCTAAGAAATATTTGTCATTTTATTTCATGAGTTAGAATGATTCATGATGAGTACACAGGTTATTAGTTACAATTTACAATACAGCACCATAGAGATGTCCTGGACCTGCACAGTCCTAGCTCTGTACTCCATCACTGCTGGTGGGATTGAGGAACCATATGGGTGCTTTTACTGAAGCCAGGTTGACCTCCTGGGCAAGGCAAGTACCCGCAGTACTATCTCTTCAGCACCCATGAGTCTCATTTTTCTCATATTTGGTCACCAAGGCTGACCATCTCAGAGGTTTTCATGAATAAACAAACAAACCAAAAAAAAAAAAAAGAGTTAAGCTGTTCCACAGAAAAACTGGTTTTGGTCCCTATTGGAATCTTTGCTGAAGGAGTTTATTCTTCAGCTATTAAAGGAACTGGCCAGATATAATACTAGTCCTCAAAGCTACCTCTCTGGATGTCTGAATTCCACACTCATGTGTGAATCTTTCTCTACACAGGAGGATGGCTAGCTGACTGTTAAAACACACAGAGTTCTCATCTGCATCTTGCAAACGTGATGGCTCATCTCACCAAACCTGTTATTCTACTTTTTCAAAGAAAGGTTTCTTGTTCCTTAGAACCTGGGTAGGCAAGATCATAGGTATCCAATTAAAGGTTTCAAAATCTAACTTACCTTTAGGAAACCTTAGCAGCTTTAAACAAAATAAAACACACACAGAGACTTTCATGTTCTTGGTCTCACCTTGAGTTTTCATATACTTCAGCACTTAGAATAATCTGCTGTTACTCTTGGGAAGGGAAATTAAAGCATTGAGAGATGGCCTGTCCTATCACTGCACTCTTCATTGTACGTCAAGTGCAGAGATGAAAACTCAAAAGACTTGATATGCCATTTCTTTATCTATTTTTTGAGGGCCGCACTCAATGACTGGGCTTACTCCTAGCTGTGTGCTCAGAGATCACTCCTGGAGGAGCTTGATATACCATATGGGATGCGGGGATTGAACCTGGGTTGGCCACATTTCTTAAAAAATAACCCTAACCCTAACCATTTCTTAAAATAAAAATAAAGTTTGCTGACAGAGCTCTTTTGGTTGGCTACTCACATAATCCAGATATACAAACATATGTGTCTAGAATCCATGAGTGCTCACACAAGTAATAAAGAACAAAAGAGATGTTCAGCAGGAAGTTAGATCACGAAGACTAAACTAAGGATGTTTCTGTGGGCTGTGGAAAGAGTAAGATGAGAGGGAAGAGACAAGTTCAAACGGTTAGAGTACATTTCTGGCCTGCAGGGACCCTGAGTTTCATTCTCAGCACCACATGATCCCCTGAAAACTGCTCAGAAGATACCTCCCAAAGAAAGAAAAAAACAGGGGAGGGGAGGGGAGGGGAGGGGAGGGGAGGGGAGGAGAGGAGAGGAGAGGAGAGGGGAGGGGAGGGGAGGGGAGGGGAGGAGAGGAGAGGAGAATACAGGAGGGGAGAATACAGGAGGGGAGTGGAGGGGAGGGAAGGGGAGTGGAGGGGAGGGAAGCGGAGTGGAGGGGAGGGAAGCAGAGGGGAGGGGAGGGAAGGGGAGGGGAGGGGAGGGAAGAGGAGGGGAGGAGAGAGAGAAGGGTAAAGCAAAGCAAGGTAAGGCAAAACAAAGCAAAGAAAGAAGAAAAGGAACAGAAAGAAAAGGAAAAATAAAATGAAAGAAAAGAAATAGAAAGGAAAAGAAAAAGAAGCAAAAGAAAGGAAAAAGAGAAAAAGAAAAGAGGAAAGGGAAAAGAAAGTAGTAGTGCTTCCACCCTATCCTGTTCCTGACTGGGAATGACTTTTAAAAGAAGACGTAGAATCAGGTTAGACCTAGGAAAGCTAACACTGAGAATCATGCAGAAGGAAGTGTACGTCTCTCAGACCTGGTCAGTCCATCCCAGGGATCTTACGCTTTCCCTGGAGCCCCATGAGGAAAGTTGTTCAATGTAACACTGAGGATCAAGAGGATTCTGCTCTCCATCAAGCCCACCCATCAGGACACGTTCGTTTTCCAACCACTCCAGTTTGTGGCAGGGGAACTGCTTAGAGCTGGAACCCTCCAAGTCTGTGTTTAGCACTGAAGCTCCAGCCACCCACAGGAACATCCTGGTGTACCTGCATCTCTCACTCACCAAGAGAAACAAAGAAGAAACTGTCCCCCTGCTATTAAATTCCCTTCTCCCAGTGCTAGGGGTGAGCAAGGCCACCTGTTATATTAACTCACTGAATAGACCTTTATCCCTCGCCTATTAAAACAAAGCGGGGCCTGAGCTACTGCGGCTGCTGAAAGCAGTTATCACCAGCAGAGTTCAAAGGAGGGTAAAAGAAAAATACAAATATTCACAGGAGGGAAGCACTTGACCTGAGGATTATGAGCTCAGTATCTCATCCTCCTCATCGTCTACCTCAGACGAGCACTCCTGAAAGAAACACTCACAGGAAAGGGGAAGAATAAATGATGGCCTGAATGAGTCCCAGAAATGGTGCAAAAATAGGAGAAGCTCAGTCATGAACAACTTGTTAGCTGGATATCTCAATAGTCAGTACAAAATTAATTTTAAAAAGTTACCAAAAACTTGTATTTATTGAACATTTACTATGTACTTTTCATTGCTCACACTTCCTGCTAACAATCACTCAGTGAGATACGGAGCCCTTTATTATTACCAGTTCACAGACGAGGAAACAGAGACAAAGACTTAACTTGCTCAGTTGGATGGCAAGAAGGGGCAGGACCAAGATGAAATCCAGGCTGACCACAAATATTTGCCCGGAAGAACAGTCATAGACTGTTCTTCCGGGCAAATATATTGACAACTGACTAGCCTCAAGCTTGGGATTATGGCATAACTTTCTGTTAAATGATTCTAGAATCATTCCTCCCAACTCTTCCCTGTCACCCAAGGAGAGGAAAAAAAAATCATGAATGGCCTCAACCAACCCACCTAACATTAAGGCACAGAGGCACCATCTCAGAATCCTTCTCTGAGGGTTGACAAATGACACAGAGACACCATTCTAATAATTGTGGCATAAGGAGCACCTACAGGCGGGCTGCACTACTTTTCATTGTTTTCTGAAGTGTTCATACTTCAAAGCGGGGAAAACTTGCTAGCGCGTCTCCGTTTCTTTCTTTCTTTTCCTGCACTGAAAACATGATGTACTGTTGGTGGAATCCATCTGTACACCCTAAGCGTAAGTGCAAACAGGGACAGCTAACACTGATGGATGGTGGGACAAAGAGATCAGAGAATAGGGATCCCAGTGATGCCACTGAGCCACTGAACTCACCCTGAGGCCACTTCCCTCCAATCTTAGCACTAACTTGAATTCATCAATGGATCTGCGGCTTAGGCCACTATCAATTGAGCTTTGTGCCCACCAATGCAGACATCAGGATAGATTCATCTAGAGCCAAGTGACACATGTAGGCCATTTAAGAGGGAATAGCATTTCAGTAAGTGGAAATGTGGGGGTGGGGGGAGGTGGAATATTCTAGTAGAGAGAATTAGTGTCATTACAGGCAAGGTAAAGATATATACATAAGTCTGAGATGACGCCCATGAACTTCCCCCAGCTACTATTTAAGCTCCGTAACACCCATGATCCAGAGACACACAAAAGAATCTCAGAACCAAGGAGCTTGATGCAGAGATCTCTCCAGACCCTAATTATCTAAAATTTGGAATTCCAGGAGCACATGGCCGGTCTTGTGGCTGCATGACATCTTATGCTATTCATAACAAGCAATCAAAATAAATTGTCTAGAATTGTCTTTTTGGTAGGTTTGAATAGTGGAAGAAAAATTACAAATAATAATGGTGGGACTGGTGTCAAAATATTGAATGTAATCAAAGTAGAGAGTATTGTGGAAATTGTCTGCCACACAGGCAGGGGAAGGGATGGGATGGGATGGGATGGAATGGGATGGGATGGAATGGGATGGGATGGGATGGGATGGGATGGGATGGGATGGGATGGGGGGTGGGATACCGGGGACTTTAGTGGTGGAAAATGTGCACTGGTGAAGGGATGAGTGTTTGATCATTGTATGACCAAAATTCAAACATGAAAGCTTTGTAACTGTATCTCATGGTGATTCAATTAAAATAAATAAATAAATAAATAAGTTTATCCCCGGAAGGGCATATTCTGCACCCTAGAATAAAGACCCCTACAGCGATGCTCTTGTTCTAATTGGTAGCTTTGGAGACCATATGGTTTAGCATAGAGCTTCTCAGTATGGGCCCTGGACCAGCAGCATCAGAATCACCTGGCAACTTGTCAGAAGCAAAACCTGACAAGTTAACTGTATACCTACTGCAGACATACTGAATCAGAAACCCCAGGGCAGGGGCTGAGCAGCTGGCATTTTGACAAGCCCTCCTGGGGCCCCAGTGCCCTACTTATGTTTGAGAAACCCTATCCACCAGGACAGAGAGAGAGAGAGAGAGAGAGAGAGAGAGAGAGAAGCCCTAGTGACCTTCTTTGTCTTATCCTGCCATCCCCTCTTCAGGATTTTTTCTCTGTGCAGGAAAGAAGATTGGTTGAGCTGCCATCTACAAAATCCTACAAGGAAGTCAAGTACAGGTGCTCTCAGTCAACCCTGAAACCCCCTTCAAGGGAACAGCCTAACTTTGTAACCAGGAGCAGGAATAGGGGCAGATGGGATCCTGACGCCTGCTTCCCCTGAGGAACTCTGCCTTCCTAGAGTGCCCCTACCCAGAGTGAGTCCTGTCTAACAGCACTTACAGTAGGGAATGAGCGGGAGGGCAACGGAAGGAATGGAGCAAGCGGGCTGAGAAGTAGAGGGGATGAGAAGCTCATTAGGGCTCTCATTTCCCAGTGGTCAAGTACAAATGCTGCAAGTTGTTAAGGGAAAGAAATCAGACAAAAGGCCACATGTTATGATTATCTTTATATGAAATGTCCAGAATAGGCAAATTCTTAGAGACAGCAGATTAATAATGAGTTAAAGGAGGAAAGAGGGGCTGTGAAGTGATTGCTGGAGTACAGTGTTGGCAGTTGCTCAGTGGCACTGTAGCACTGTCCTCCCGTTATTCATCCATTTGCTCGAGCGAGCCCAGTAACATCTCCATTGTGAGACTTGTTGTTACTGTGTTTGACAAATCGAATATGTCACGGGGAGCTTGCCAGGCTTTGCCGTGCGGGCGAGATAGTCTCGGTACCTTGCCAGGTTCTCGGAGAGGGGCAGAGGAATCAAACCTGGGTTGGCCGGGTTGGCTGCATGCAAGACAAATGCCCTTCCCGCTCTGCTATCACTCCAGCCCAGCAGTTGCTCACTAAATAGACTGAAACCCACTAAACCTTACAGTTTAAAAAAGTATGTGAAATGTAACTTGGTCCCAAAAAGTACATTGAGTTGAGTGTCTTTTGGGAAATGTTAGGTCATCATTCTATCTCCCAGTCATACTTGGAGATGGACAAAGAACACTTGCTTTGAAAATGATCAAAGAAAAACACCAATTCCCATGTTGCCAAGGGGGGAGTCTATGGGATTATTTAGAGTTATTGAGTTTTGTAGGCTAATGCTTTTCCTTTTTCAGACTCCAAAGACACACACACACACACACACACACACACACACACACACACACACACAAGACGGAGGGTAGAGTTATCATCAGCCCAAAGACACTTACCTCCACTATGAGGGACACAATAAAATTGGAGCTGAGCATAATGACAATGTAGATTTTCCACAGGACAGGAGTGCAGAGCAGCTGGTGGAGACAAGAAAAAAAAAAAAGGAAAAACAGTGTTGAACACATGTATCTGAAGAAAGTGTCTTTCTTATATGTTCACAGTGCCTCTTATGTCTTATATGTCATATGCTGGGGGTGTCATATATTCAGTAAATCTTCAGACTTCCCACAGTCTAAAGATACTTATATGTTTATGGGTTCTCAGTGTGTATTTTATAGTTTATATTTCACTCATGTAATCAACATAGAAGAGTGTGGAAGGATTACACTCAGTGACTAAGAAACTAATTACTGTTTGAGGATTTATCTTCCTTTTTGATTTGTAATTTCAGAATTTTCTCAAACAAATTTGGTGAGTTTGCAATAAAAATAACAAAATATTTGTGTTTCCTTTCTTGGTTTTGCTGTTGTGAGAGAAGGTGGGAGTGGGGTTTTACTTTCAGGTGACTAGGAGGGTAATGGTCTTGTCATCTGTCTTCTTTCTGACCCTTAAGGCTTACCGTGGACCCTGGGTCTGGATTTCCCCTGAGAACTATGTGTACAACTGCAAAGGTTGTGACATCGCAGGATATCCACCAAAAGCAGAGGAGCTAACACAGAACCACCATTACTTCTTTCCCCACTTTCTTTGTATCTTTTCAACCCCACCTCAGATACATGGTAGATAGAAATAATATTACATTGAACAAATGGAGCCTCTGGAACCTTTTGCTCAATGAATGAGTGAAAATAAAGTCATGTGCTCTCATTGCACACAGTGCTACCTCTATTTTTCTTTATCTACCAGTGGGAGCAAAAACTGGGACAATTCTTATGGAGGTCACTGCCACCAAAAGTTCAAATCTATTTCTAGAAATATGTCTGATACTGGGCCCGCTTGAGCAAACCGATGAATAATGGGAGGACCGTGATGTCTGATATACTTGCGGCTGGCTAACATGATGTATATATCAAGTCATTTTGTCTAGAAAAATAAAAAGTTCAATGTTTATCTATAGGAAATTACATGGTAATTATTAGACATATATTTCATATGTGTGCTTATATACGTTCATAACAAAATACAATATTTGTATAAAAATCAGGAGGAGGCTTTATTGATTATCAAGGGATTTCACAAAATGGAAAATGAGGTTTAAGCCCATGTGTATGGTGGTGGCCATCATGAAAATATTCATTCGGGTTTCCTGCAGCAGAAGGGATGCCTAGAAGCTGCCCCAACTGCTGTACTTAGAATCTCTCTCTCCCTAAGCCCACAAACTGCCCTACTCATCTCATCTATTTCCCACCCTTTCCCCTTCACAGGAGTCAGAGAATCATCAGAGTATGATGCCTTTCCCAGCTCCTCACTTTTCAGGTCTCCTGCCCGTCTACAACACATCTTATATCATCTTGACATCTATCCACCTCAGAAGATCTGAACAAGTGTAACAGGTACAAATGTTGATCCCATTTGCATAGGTAGGTAAAGGGACATATATGATGATCTGTTATTACCTATACTGCGAACCATAGTGCCCAGAAGGAGAGAGAGACAGACAGACAGACAGACAGACAGAAAGAAAGACAGAGAGACAGAGACAGACACAGGCACAGAGATAGAGAGACAGAGAGAAAGAAAAATGCCTGTCACAGAGGCAGACTGGGGCAGGGGTAAGGAATGGGGGGATGGAAGAAGGAAACTAGGGACATTGGTGGGTGATAAATGTACACTGGTGAAGGATGGGTATCAGAGCATCCTATGACTGAAACCCAATTGTGAGAAACTTTGTAACAGTGTATCTCATGGTAATTCAGTAAAAAATGTTAAAATAAATTTTTTAAGCTGTGGGACAAGAATATACAGGTGTGTATTTGTGTACATGTGTATAAAATATATTGGAAACTATTTCAAATAAATAAATGTTACTTGTTGCCTCCAGAGAGAGAAGCTGGTAGGCAGCTGCAGAGCAAGGGTGGGAGAGAGAACTTCAAACTGTGCCATTGCAGCCAATTTTCCTTAAATTATGTAATTTTTAAAAGTGAACAGTAACTAGGTTACAAAACAGCACGATTCCATTTAAAATATAATAAACTTCATAAATCAGTCACTGCACTTTTATAATGCATGAATTTTAAAGAATAGAAGGATATAATGAGCAAGCTTATCACTTTACTGGCCGGCATATTCACATTTTCTTAAATAAACCCATAATTTTGTGGAATAATAATAAAAATAACAATTTTTAAGGTGGGTAATAATTCTTTATAGAGACCTTTGCCAGTATGTTGGCAATGACTAAGCAGAGTTTTCCTCTGAAACTTTTCTGTTTCCAATTTTGTAGTAAGAGAAGACCCAGACTCTCCATAAGCACCTTCATTAGAATGTGGCCAAACCAATAAGTTCACAAGATCAAGAAGTTTTAACTCAGAAGTCCAGTGCAATTTATCTCTCTGAGTATGCGATCTAAGTCATGAAGATTGATAAGCATAGTAGCAGTTACTCTGATAAACATAAAAAATTATAAAAATGTAAACAACACGGACCCTAGCTGATGTCATTTAAAGGAGTGTGAAGCTATTGCTGGCTTGAAATATACTTTGCACTTCAAGGATTGGTCCACGTTTCAGAGACTTCTAGACACTCATCAGTCATTTTCTGCCATTGCAAGCCATTCACTACGCAAGGCATTAGAAGTGTGGAAGCCATGTATTCTTCAGAATAATGAGCAAGGGAGAGTACTGAGTACTGATGCGAATAAAACTCAACTTCGAGATGGCAAGCCAGTCACATATACAATGCAGTAAATTATAAACAATAGGGCCTGAGAAATAGTACTGCAGGCAGTGCTTTTGCCTTGCATGTGACTGAACTGGATTTGATCTGTCACACCTCACATGATCCTCTGAGCCCACCAGGAGTGATTCCTGAGAGCAGAGCCAGGAGTAAGCCCTGATTACCAATAGGTATGGTCCAAAAATAAAAACAAACCTCAGTTCCTTCTGCCATTTTTTCTCTATACTATTTACTGGTCTAATGAACTGTCACTGTCACTGTCACTGTCCTCCCGTTGTTCATTGATTTGCTTGAGCGGGCCCAGTAACGTCTCCATTGGAGACTTTGTTGTTACTATGTTTGGCATATCGAATACATCACGGGTAGCTTGCCAGGCTCTGCCGTGCAGGCGAGATACTCTCGGTAGCTTGCCAGGCTCTCTGAGAGGGGCGGAGGAATCGAACTTGGGTCGGCCATGTTGGCTGCATACAAGGCAAACGCCCTACCTGCTGTGCTATCACAATAATAATAATTTTAGTTCAAAAGTATCACTTTTATATTGTAAGTAATATTGTATTACTTTTATATTAGAAATGTGTTTCTAATATAGAGTTTCAAAGTTCCCTCCAAATTACAAAATCTAAGAATTTATGGGGACCTTTAAAAGCAAGTGTTGAAGAAGTCATATGTGAACAATGCAAAAAAAAGCAAGCCCTTAAAGATTTTTTAAACTAGAAATTTATGTTTGAAAATTAATCAAGAAAGTGTTATAGGCAAAACTGTTTAAGCAGCTACAGAAGACTTTAGAGGGAAATTCTCTCACGAAGGATAGGGAGCTTGCCCTCCACAAGGCCAATCTGGGTTTGATCCTGGCATTCCATAGGTCCTGAGTGCAGAGTCAGAAGTAACCCCTGAGCCTCACCAGGTGTGGCCCCAAAATAAATCAAATAACTAGATAAAGTTTATAGATTCTACAGGAATCTCAAAAAAATGTTTAGTGCTGTTGAAAAACTAAGAATTAAGAATAGGATCTTATTTTTGATCATCTTAAATAAAATTACATTTAAAATATAACATTATTTTTAAACGTTATCATCCCAAAAGAATAAACAGTATCAAAAACCTATGTTAATTGTAACTGTGACCTGTTTTTGAAGACAGAGAATTATGTAACTGCAAGTTGTCAGCAGCATTGTCATCCCACCACCATCATCATCATCACCATCATCATCATCACCACCACCATCATCATCATCACCAACCACCACCACCACCACCATCATCATCATCATCATCATCATTATCATATTCCAGAGATAAAACTTACATCCAAACTCTTATATAATTCCGGAATATCAGCAAATAGAATGAATAAACACACTCCCAGCTGTACGACCAGAACAAGGACAAATATATCTGTGGAGATGAAAAACAAGACACTATTTTGAGAAATCAAAGTATAGATCGACACATCCGTTAATAGTCATGTTTTAGATTAGCACTGATTTGATGAACTTGATTTCTATTTCCATATACATCACAAAAGGTGGAAATCATTCATTTCTGAGCAATGGGTTACAACACTACAGTTTCGATGCGTGTCTTGTAAAGTGGCAATTTTTCAATGCATGTGATAAATTGCAATTAATTATATTTGTGATAAACATAAATTATAATAGTGATAAACATATGTAACTTGTACTAGTGATAAACATAAATTGTAATAGTGATAGGCATATATAAATAGAGGATAACACTACCGAAATATATTTTCAATAAGTGCCTTGAAGGAATCTAAGAATATGAGTCTCTTAAATACAAATAATCTTTTTCTGCTCCTTTACCAGAAAAAAACAAGAAGGGCTGTAAATAAACAAATGTTTAAATTGCAATCATGCGGGCCAGCACTCAACTGCTGGCTCATCCCAGAAAGAAGGGCAAAACAATTTTCTTTGAATACATTTTTATGAGTGATATTAAGCTTTCAACTTTTGCTTCTAAATCTTTTCAATCGTTTCATCATAATATACAAATATAGATTCCATTTCTCTTCATACACACCCCCACCACATCATGACCTCTGCAAGCATCTTATATCCAAGTTCCTCCAAGATAGATCCACTGCCAGACCCCCGATCATACAATGACATTCTAGCTATTGTCTTCCTGGCAAGAAGACACATTTCAGGTGAGTGCCGTGACTCTCCTCCTCCTCAAAGCAGAAAAATGAGTCTTCTCAGTTGACAGTAACCACAAGAAAAAACACCTAGAAACCAATTGTTTTGTGTGTGAAAGGAAGAGGTGATGAATGAAGCCCTAGTATCTAATGCAGGTTGAAGAAAGGAAGCAACGGTTCAAAAATGAGATGTGTGATGAGAGTAGACTATAGACCGAACATGATTGCCACTCAATGTCTCTTTTGCAAACCACAACACTCAAAAGGAGAGAGAGAACAAAAGGGAATGCCCTGCCACAGAGGTAGGGTGGGATGGGGGGAATGGGGGGTGGGAGGAATACTGGGATCAGTGGTGGTGGAGAATGGGCGCTCGTGGAGGGATGGGTATTCGATCATTGTATAAGTGAAAACCAAGCACAAAAATTTCTAAGTCTACAACTGTAGCTCATGGTGTTTCACTAATAACAATTTAAGGGAAAAAAATTAGTTGCATAATCTGCTTTCCAGAGCCATGGAAAGCCCTGGAAGAAGCAATGAAACAACTAGACCTTGATGGACCCAGGCAAGTTTGCTCTCTCCTTGGATGACTTCATGCTTCAGATCTAATACAATTCTACTCACAGTTTGTATAGGTGGGCTGCCGAAATGGTTTTCCTTTGGAGAAGATAAGGGCCACAGTGATACAGTTGATGGTTCCCAAGAACCATATAGTAGTGTTCTCAAAACTTGTGACAATACCATTGGTTCCAATTTTTTCTGGAGTGGTTGGAGCAATAGTTAATTTGAAGGAGGTTTCGTTGGGAACTGTGCAGGCACTGAAAATGCAACCAAATACACTAGTGAGATGAGATGACAAGCTAGTATGAAGCACTTGAATCAACAAAACTTCATGCCCCCAGCTGAAGAAAACTGGTTGTATTGGGGGAAAGAATGTGCTGAAAAAAATCATGAAAAATACACCAGCACTATTAGACCTATAGATCTTTGGGATAGATAAGGGGGGAGAAATGAACTAAATATTTATTCCATAAACCGGCACTATCAGTGTGCAAAGTGTATGAGAGGTGAATTGTTCTCTCCTGAAGAATCGTGTGTTCTTAAAACAAACCACTGTGATTTTTTTTACTTTTTAAATTTCTTTTAGCTTTTTGGGCCAGACCCAGCAATGCTCAGAGGTTACCCCTGGCTCTGCGCTCAGGAATTACTCCAGGCTGTGCTTGGGGGACCATATGGGATGCTGGGGGTTGAACCTGGGTCAGTCACATGTGAGGCAAACAACCCTACCTGCTGTATACTGCTCCAGTCCCAAGACCGCTTTTTAAAGCAGGGTGACCATAGAGTTGTTCATTCTTTAGCACCAAATTTAAATGTGAGAGGAAACTTTTAATAATTACATGGGAGTAGCAAGCTTACATTGAGGCTGGCCAGGCAGTCTATAATGTATGGTCACTCTAGGTAAAAAGAAAATGATGATCATAGATCTGTAACTGTCACTGTCCTCCTGTTGTTCATCTATTTGCTTGAGCGGGCCCAGTAACATCTCCATTTTGAGACTTGCCGTTACTGTGTTTGGCATATTGAATACATCACGGGTTGCTTGCCAGGCTTTGACATGTGGGTGAGATACTCTCGGTAGCTTGCCAGGCTCTTCAAGAGGGGAGGAGGAATCAAACCTGGCTTGGCCGGGCTGGCTGCGTGCAAGGCAAATGCCCTACCGCTGTGCTATCATTCATTATCATACAAGAGCAGCAAGACAAGTGTCCATAGATAATGCTGTCACTCTGAGTTGCAGAGAAGACATGGTCATTGGAAATGATGCCCACACAACGTAAGGAAGTCAGAATGAAGACTTCGGCAGAATGAAACTCTTTTGCATTCCAGATTATATCCACCAGAAATTAGGATGAGAAAAGCAGGAATCAGGTTGACGGCCCTACCTGTGCCTTTCTGCAGAATACCAGGGCTGCTTCTGAACCAGAATGAAGCCTGCGATGTGCATGGCCAAGCTGAGGAGAATATTGAGAATCACGGAGAGCAGCAGAGGTGGGGAGATGAGCCGTCCTGTCGGTCTGAATGGCACCAGCTTGGGGTAGGCACCGTTCAGATTCACTACAATATAAATTCAGAGTTAGTGATGATGAGAACAGAAGCATGCTGTCTTGTTCATCAGATGCATAGCATCACTGCTCGGGTCCTGCTTTGGAGGAAAATACAGTGGAGGGATAAAGTGATAAATGGATTCATCTCAAGTAATATGAGGAATTCTTCAAGGTCAGCTGTAAAACAGCCACAGTTTCTTTTGCCGATGAAATAGGCAGACTATTAAGTTACAGGGGAGAGAATGATAAAATGCAAACCCTCATGCACTGTTTGTCGGAATGGAAGTTGACACAAACCTTCTACGTAGCAAGTTGACAATAAATATAGAGAAAAACGCTCATAACTTTTAACAGTTATTCCACTTCTAGAAATTCATCCTCCGCTAAATAATCAGAGGGAGAAAAATGTTCATCACTGTACATTTAGAAGAAAGTATCATGCATCCATCCTGGGGGAAAGCGTGCAGTCATTTAGAGACAGTGCTTTAAGATATTTCATGACAGAGCTAAGACTGATGTTGGCAAAATGGCAGACCAAGGAAACCCTAGCACCACAGCAGCCTTGAAAGATAAGCAGAAGCTGTCAAAAACAAGCCTGTCAGGACTCTGAGAACCTAAGATGATTATAGCAAGCAAAAACATGTTGAAACAAACAAACAAACAAAAAAATGCAGCGTAGGGCCAGGGAGACAGTTCTGGGGTGGTCAGGGGTGCTGGCCTTTCAAGTGCAGAGTCCTGGAGGAGAGCCTGAGCATTATACAGCCCCGGTGTCTGTGGGATGTAGTCTGGACATCACCTTACGCTGGAGATCACTCCTGACTCTGTGCTCGTGGGGATATGCAGTGCAGGGTTCAGCCACATGCAAAGCGAGTGCCTTACCATGCACTCTCTCTCTCTGGCCTTTGTTCACGTATCTTCTAAGTTGTGTGTGGTGCTTTCTAAGAGTCATCCATTCCCCCCTTTCATCGTGATGCTTGTACACACAACTGGCTCCAGTACGGCCAGAAATCTGTTGTGGTGCCATTGATCCCAGCAGAGACCTGCCAGGCATAAACACCAAGGTACCACTGGAGATTTTAACTTGTAATAATAGCTTTTCAAGGTAGGTACCCCAAGCTTCTTTACTATTTCTCCAGGACCTGGGTCAAGAATTTAAAACTCCTCTTGTCAGTGCACTGAGCAAAAGAAAAGCATGGGGAAGGAGAGAAAGTATGTTAAGGCATTTGCCTTGCAGGCAGCCTAACTCGGGTTCAGCCTCCAGCACTTCACATGGTCCCCTGAAAAACCACCTGGAGTGATCCCTGAGCACACAGAGCCAGGAGTAAGCCTTGAACACAGCCAGGCACAGTCCAAACCCATAGCCCCAAAGGGTAAACCATGGTGAGTATGTGTGGAGCGCTGGAGCAATCCCAGAGAAGGTAATTTGTGTGTCCAACTAAGACTGTACACCCCAGCGAGCACAGGTACAGCACCACAAGTGAAGGAGTACATTGAGCATGCAGCGGGCTTCCCACCCTGGAGAGCATGGCAGCCAAGTGTGTGGGCCACCCTGGCCACTTCAGCCACCACCAACACCACGACAGCCACAACATCAAACACAAGGAAGGGCAGGGGGCGAATACAAGGTTGTTACATTTAAAAAACTAAGTTCTTGCATCCTGAGAGACAGTACAGGGTTATGGTACTTACATTGGATGTGGAAAAATCCAGGTAAATCCCCTGGTACTGTGAATTGTTCTCAATATTGTTGTGCACTCTGCATTAATATATATACATATATACACACATATATATGTAAAGAAATATATTTAAAGACTTTAATTGGTTAGCTTTGGGACATAGAATAAAAGACGGATCTTTAAATTTGTTATGCCTTCTAATACTTTTCATATGCTTTTCACCATCAATATATGGAAATTAAGCAACTCTGAAAGTGGAAAAATTAAGTTATTTATCTAAAGAAAAACAAATCTAAAACCTGGATGTTCTTGTTTATTTGTTTGTTTTGTTTGATTTGGGAGCACACCCAGTGGTGCTCCTGGATCATTCCTGGTGGAGCCCCAGGAACTATGATATGGGATGCCAGGGATCAAACCCAGATCAGCTTCAAGCAAGGTAAGCACCCTACCAGCTGTACTATCTCCCCAGTCCCTGAATATTCCTATAAGGAAGACAGCAGTCACAGAAAAATGAAAGCTGCTTTCAAATTGTGACTCCAGGAAGAAAAACCACGCTGATCTGTATCACATCAAATAGAAAAATGGAGCAATTTAAGTTACACTGAAATAGATTTGGCTTGAGGTGAAGGAGAAATTCGAAAAAAAGAAGGCCTAGTCAACGGTGTTCTTTCACCCATTGACTTAGCAAATATTTTGTATGCTCTTTGATATGTAAAGCTTTATTAGAAGCATTTGGAATTCAGCCATGATCAAATAAGTGCTTTTCTGATAAAGGAACACTTGGAGGAGGGTAGACAAGCAAAAGCAAAGAAAATGTAAACAAATATCATTTTTTCAGATCATGAAAAAAGGGCAGAGTTGTATAATAGGCAATCAGTGGCTTGGCCACTATTCAAATACCAATTCTTCAGTGGTGATATTTCTACTAACATGTAAAGAATAAGAAAACCTCAATGGCATGAGGATCCCAGGGGTGAGTAGTTTAGGCAAAAATATGAAAAAAAAAGCTGGAGCGATAGCACAGCAGTAGGGCATTTGCCTTACAAGTGGCTAACATGGCCGACCCGAGTTCGATTCCTCTACCCCTCTCGGAGAGCCCGGCAAGCTACCGAGAGTATCTCGCCTGCATGGCAGAGCCTGGCAAGCTACCCGTGACGTATTCAATATGCCAAACACAGTAACAACAAGTCTCATGATGGAGACATTACTGGGCCCACTCGAGCAAATCGATAAACAATGGGAGGACCGTGACTTCCGTGACCGTGATGAAAAAAAGCAGAAGTTCTAGGGTGAGCACAGTTAATAAAATATAGGATGAATATGGTTTCCACTGAGACAAATACAATAGTGATCTGCACCAAATACAGAATTTCACGTTTAAATTTCCAGACAAGCTTTAAACAAACTCTAGGTAAGAAAAGCAAACTGGCAAAGAATTTCAATCATAGTTGGAAAGATGATGTGAAAGTGGAAGCTAAAAATTAGAAGAAAAACAGAAAAACACTGACAAGTCAAGAGAACAACTGAAATGAGGGGCAAGGGCATGACAGTGAGAAGGGCATTTGCCTTCCATGCCGCTGACCTGAGTTCAATTCCCAGCATCCCATATGAGCACTGCCAGGAATGATGCCTGAGCGCAGAGCCAGGAGTAACCCCTGAGGATCCCCAAAGATTGACCCAAAAAAGGAAAAAAAAAAGAAAGAGAAAGAAAACAACTGACATCAATATAATGGCAACAAATATTTAACATTTTAATAATCACCTTCAATCAGGAGAGGGACTTGCAAGCAGAGCTCAGAGGGACCAAGGGTCACTTCCAGTAATATCTGGCCAATTCGGACAGAAGGCTTGATGTTAGGCCTGGTGATGTGGTGCTACTTGGGTTTGGGGTGCTGGTGGCCACCAAGGCCATATTGGGCTATATTTTGAGGCCTCTAGAGCTCCAATTAACAGTGCTTGTGATCATGTGGTGCCAGAGATCGAAGACAGGGTTCCGTATACACAAGGCGTGTGCTCCTCATACCCTTGTACTATCTAACATGTCCCAGCATCTTTAATTTTAATGTCCTGAACTCACCAGGTATATGGTATAGAATGGTAGGATAGTTCAAAGCTCAAATTCAGAGCCAGAAGATACTCAGAGGTTAGTGGTACATGCTTTGCATGCACAAGAATCTGCTTTCTATTCCTGGCACCCCACCCCCAATCCTAGCACCACTAGGTGGAGAGTCCTGGATGCTTCTCAAGGAACCATCGCCAGATGGGGTCTGGAAAGCTTCCAAGCCATGCTAGAGAGGACATGGTGGCTCAGCAGAGCCTGAGGGTTGAAGCTTCTAGTGTGGTTGGTTGAATACCATCAGGAGTGACCTTAAGACTTCCTGAACACAGCTTGGGGGAACCTTTCTCAACAAAAATTCAACTGTTTCCTGCCACAAGCAACACATCTTAGCTTCCAAGACAATATAGACTCAAAACAACTGATTGCAAAACAGTCCTACTAGCAAGGGTTTACTTTTTGAAAAAGGTAGTTGCCCTTTTTAAATACATTATGAAGATTATAATTTATATGTATCAGTTGAAGAGCAGAAGGACATACTAAGCAATTATTAATACAACAATCAGGGTGATGTTAAAATTATTATAATAATATCCCACATAAAATTATGACCACAGCAACGAAACTGAATAAAAAAGAAATAAAAATCTTTAATGATAGTGCTCATTTGGGCAACATATATGCTAAAATTGTATAGATAAAGAGAAGATTAGCATGTTCCCTGAACAAGGAAGATATATAAATTCATGAAGTGTTCCATATTTTTAAAAAGGTTTTTGGACCAAACAATATGAAGTAAATTTGTATATGCCTGTCCAGAGAGGAAAAAAAAAGAAAACCTCATTTATGACAGGATATATATGATGATTGCTGCAATAAGGTTCAAGTACAAAATAAAATGTAATGCAATCTGTTTTAAAGGCAAGAGTTGACAACTTGGTTATGTAAATGATAATAGACAGCTACTATATTGTATTAAATGATTTGGATTTCCGTATTTCCGTAGGTTAAAATCATACAGCAATTAATCATTACAAATTGACTTTTGTTGATTTATCCTCTAATAATTCTATTTGCCATTTATTTAAGTTTTATTGGAGCAAGAAACATCAAATAAACTTGTTATATGCTTGCCCCCTTGGATGGCAGGGACCTTGAGCAGGAATTAGTGTTATAACACTGTATGCCTGAAACAATTCTATTATGAACAACTTTGTAAATCATGGTGTTTTAATTAAAAATAAATAAATATATACTTAAACTTTAATGATAAACTAGAACAGATTGAATTAATGTATTGATGACAATAGAACATTTGTCTCCCAGACCAACCCACTTTTTGACTAATGCACTGTAGCACTGTCCTCCTGCTGTTCATTGATTTGCTCAAGCGGGCACCAGTAACGTCTCCATTGTGAGACTTGTTACTGTTTTTGGCATATCGAATATGCCACGGGGAGCTTGCCAGGCTCTGGCATGCGGGTGGGATACTCTCAGTAGCTTGCTGGGCTCTCCGAGAGGGATGGAGGAATTGAATCCGGGCGGGCCACATTCAAGACAAACGCCCAACCCGCTGTGCTATGGTTCCAACCCTTAATATACTCTGGTTTCTCTTCAAATCGTATAAAGCTTTCGCCTTTTTCACTAATGCACCTTTAAATTTTTACAAGGATAGATACTGGGACACAAAATCTCAATGAGTTTATGAAAAATGAAATAATACCAAGTAGTTTTTTATATCATCACTGTTACTGTCACTGTTCTCCCGTTGTTCATCGATTTGCTTGAGCGGGCCCAGTAACACTGTGAGATTTGTTACTGTGTTTGGCATATCAAATACATCACAGATAGCTTGCCAGGCTTTGCCCTGCAGGCGAGATACTCTTGGTAGCTTGCCAGCTCTCCTAGAGGGGCGAAGGAATCGAACTCGGGTTGGCCCTGTCAGCCGCATGCAAGGCAAACGCCCTACCTGCTGTGCTATTGCTCCAGAAAATTATAAATCAACCACAAAAAAAAACCCACACAAAACCTCATGCATATAAAAATAATATCAGCAAAATTTGATCCTCTCAGCAACCATTGGGTCAAAAAAGAAAGTAAAATCAAAAATAAAAAATATCTAGAGAAAATGAAAAACATAAAAAAGCACAAAATAAAAACACAAGTTATTAGAATCCATGATATACTTGAAAAACAACACTAATAGAGAAGTTAGAATACAGGTATTCACTGTATAACTGAAATCTAATTATGAACAGTTTTGTAAGGGTCTCTCAGTTATTCAATAAAAAAGTGAAAAAAAAAAGCAGCAAAGACAGGGGGAAAAAAGATCACATATGACAACTAAGAAATAAATTTTCTTAACAGAAATGTTAGCACACATCTTCCAAAGGCTTGCAAAATATAATGGAATTTAGTGGCCTTACACTTTCTTAACTTTGCTGAGAAGAAATTTGTTCTCTAGAATGATTCCTTGTATTTCATAGAAATTAAAGTTAGTATAGTCAATAAAAAAATACAGGTATTCAAAAAATGTATAAAATGAGAAGTAAGCAATTTTATCTTATAGTGATTTAATATTATAGTTGTTCCCTTATAGTTTAGAATTTACAACAGAATATAAATAAATGCAATACAAATAAAAATAATACCAAAAGGTTAAAAACTAAATTTAGAAAATATAATAAAAACCCTTAGCTATATATGTAGAAATAGAAAACTCTAATAAATAGAATCAAAAATGAAAGAGGAAAAGTTTCCAGTGATGTCACAAAAATGCAAAAGATTATAAGGTGCTATTATGTACAACAAATTTGATAACCTAAAAGAAATTATTAAATTTTAAAATGAATATGAGCTTGCAAACCAAAAAAATGGAAAACCAAGAACCAATGAGTATGGAAATTAAAACACTTAATTAAAAACTTCCCAGAAATAAAATTCCTGGAACAGATGACTTTTCCAGTGAATTTTACTAAATTTCTGAAGATGTATTTTAGTTTATTCTCCTCGGATGCTTCAAAAAATTAAAGAAGAAATAATAATTCCATGTATTTTATGAAGCCAATATTATCTTGCCAGTAAGATCAGATATGACCACCATACACAAGAAATAAATTCAATTTATTTACAAAGTAAACTAATATTTCTAATGACTATATACTTTTATAAGTTCAACAAATCGAATTCAACAATATATCAAAGCTATACCTATATTATCAAGTTATAGTTATTATTGTCATATAGTTACAAATTGGTAGTAGTAGTTATATTCACCCTACCTAATAAAGATTTATTCCTGGTACACAAGTCTGGTTCGGCATATACAAGTAAATCATTATAATACATTAACTCACAAATTAGGGTAATAAAAATTGTATGGGGCTGGAGCGATAGCACAGCGGGTAGGGCGTTCGCCTTACAAGCAGCCAACATGGCCGACCCGAGTTCGATTCCTCCGCCCCTCTCGGAGAGCCCGGCAAGCTGCCGAGAGTATTCGATATGCCAGACACAGTAACAACAAAGTCTCCAATGGAGACGTTACTGGGCCCGCTCGAGCAAATCGACGATCAACGGGAGGGCCTTCTTAATTCTTCTTAATTCTTAATTAAAAATTGTATGGTAATATTAGTAAATGCCAAGGAAGCATTTAACAAAATTCAGCATCTACATATAATGAAATCTTTGAGTAAAATGGGAATAGAAAAAAAATATCCAGAAAAAAAGGCCATATGAACTAAAACCACAATTAATATCCTCAATGGTAAAAAAATAGAAAACTTTTGTTTAAATCAAGAACAATACGGATGGACAATTTCATCCACTATTACCACTTTAGTTTCAATTTAGTATTGAAAGAAAAGCCAAAGCAATTAGACAACAAGAAACAAAATAGACAAAGATGGTAACAATAAAGGAGAAGAAATTAAAGAAACACAATCTTATTTATAATTATGCCAAAAGTGAGAGACAGTGTGGGTTAGAGGTGAAGTTGAAGAAACAGTAGGAACGGAATCACGTTGGATTAAGAAAAACATTAAAAGCCACTGGAACATTTTGAGCAAGAGGATGACAATAAAATACAGATTTATAAAAAAAAAAAATCCTCTGACCCAGGGGGATAGCTCAAGGGGCTGAGCTCTTGCTTTGCAAGCAGGATTCCTGGGTTTGATGCTTAGTTCTCCAATCACCACTGGACTGACACCTGAGCACAAAATCCAGAATAACCCCTACACATCGCCAAGGATGCCTCAAAAATAAAAATAAACGAAATAAATGAAAACAACTCTCTCTAAGCTGTGTGAAAGGTAAAGAGGATTCAGAGAAGACAGCAGGAATTGAAGCAAGATGGACTGCAGTACTCCACATGAGAGCTGTTACTGCTTTCTGAGAGTGGGTCCCCTAGAAACGGAAACTAAAGGAAGCAGGTTATGTTTCAGAATTAGATGTAAAGGTTGAACTAATAATGACGTGAGCAAGTAATAGGGATCCAGCAAAACTCCCTATTTTCATGTTGTTAACTACATGAAAATAGGGAATTTTGTGTATTTTGTTCACCAAATTATTCCAACTACATAGCAGAATAGTAGTACAAACTCCTAAAGCACTTAGTAAATACTTGCATCAAATATTTGATCAAGTAGAATGAAGTTTTCTCTTGGCATGCTTCGTTTGAATTTTGTTAAATATTCAAGCTTAGATGAAGAATACCTGCGAATTCAGAGTTTAGGATAGACATTCAGGCTGGATGGAGTACATATTCATTATGGAATTCATCAGCATGCAAACTATAAAGTCATTAGACTAGTTGAAATCACTTAAGGAGAGGATACAAATGAAGGGGGGAAAAACCCACAAGAGAAACCAAGCACAAACCTTCCAACACTCTAAAATTTAGGGGACAGCAACAAGAACAAAGAATAAGATGGTAAAGCTGAAATCATTCAAATGACAAATAGATAATCCCAGAGACTGTAGGTTCAGAAAAGCCAGAGGAAGAAATCTTTTGAGGGACACCAAGTGCAATTGAGAAATTCAATGACAAGGAAGTGGTTTGACCCTGGGTTTGAAGTGGCTTGATTCAAGAAGAGAGAAGTGGTCATTACTGCTAACGTCAAGGAAGGGACAGTAGGCTTGACAAGAGTCATCACGAAGGTGGCAGCTGGAATGTAGTGTTGTTCCTCTTGAGTCCCTCCTCCAAAAACAGTAATTTTAAACAAGCTGGTGTGATAGCTGTTCAGATTAGAGTAAGAGGAGAAACGAGGAAAACAGAGTGCAAGCAAAGCCATGAAATAGGTCTGAAGATGAGGCCTAAGAATGGCACCTCGTGCATGCAGAGGGGAGGTAGGAAGGGATTTTTGGTTACCTCTGACTGTGCTCAGGGCTTACTCCTACCTCTGTGCTCAAGGATCACTCCTGGTAGTGCTCTGAGGATCAAACCAAGATCAGCTGCATGCAAGGCAAGTACCTTAACCCCTGTACTCTCTCTCACCAGTCCAACTAACACCTACTTGAATGTGTAATAACATGGCCCTTCCAACCAGCGGTGGCTGGCGCCCTCAACTCATACTGGTTCACAAGGGCTGATTGCTAAAATATTTGCAAGCCAGCTGTAGAACGTAGTCATTCTCTCAAAGCAAGTATATAAGCAACCAATTAAATAAATATATTGGAAGCAAAGATAATGAATTTTAAGATAGATTATGTTCAAATTTCCCTGTTATGTTTTAATATGCTCTGTTTTTGAAGTTAATAATGGAAAGTATGTCCAATTGAGTGTATGTCACATCTTTAACCATTATATCTGGCACAATCCCTGACTAAGGAAATAATCTTCTAGCATTCAAGAACTATTATCCAGTTCAATAAATAAGTTGTCCATATTACTGGCAAATGACTGAAATTACAGCATACATCTTTATTGTTTTGCTCATTCAGGTAAAGAAAAATGTCAACTAGCATGTCTGCCGGAACTAATTCCATCATCAATTGCAACCAAAGGTTTCATGAATTTGTAAAGATTCAGTGAAGGCTTCTGAGAATCAATGAGCTAAGAGAAGTTTGCAGGAAGCAGTACTACATAGTGTTGTTATTTTAAAAAGTGATTACTACATGTTCTTTGTATTCTATAAAGTTTATAGTAGGCTTATGCTGATATATGTGTGTGTGCAAAAACTTTTGAAGAGCCAATTTTTAAACCTTTTGCAGTTTACCTCAATCTCCCAAATAGTAATCCACACCACCTGGCCCAATATCATCAGAGTGACTCACTCTCCCTCCATGCACTAAATAATTATAATGATGATCATAATCATAACTTACTTGTCACACCAATAAGAGTTGTGATAGCCAGATCCTGGAACAGAAACTGGTAATTTGAAAGGCTGTTTGTCTCCTGAAAATAAAAAACAAAACAACTCAAGAAAGTCATGGCTTTAGGAATGAAGCCAGTTCTGAGCTGCATTCATCTTTTCACTGTAATATATTCCAAGGAAAAGGTATGGCCAGAAGTATATTCATGTTGGAGGTACAACTAACAGACAAGTCTGTGACCTCCCCTAGCCAGCATCCCTCCTTATTAAAACACAGCTCACGATATTCATTTCATCTCTGTTCTCTTTGCTACTTGTTAGTAAATAAGTTGGATCTAACACAATTATACAGCAAACTTCTAATAACAACACATGACAAATGTGGGGTGATCTGACCCAAATTTCACAGTGTTACTGGCAAGCAACTTTAAAGTTGGGGGGGGGGGCGGAAATTAGAAGGTCTACTGATTTGGGCTTACTTGCTTCTCTGTCCACTATCTCTAGGTGGAAAGAGATAGGCAGAATGATGATCCATGTTTAACTCTATTTTAATTGTGGGTTATTAGAGTTCCAAAATAAGGTTGCTAAATGATGCTTGGATGGCTCGCTCAGGATGGGAGATGTGGGTTGAAAGTAGACTATGGACGGAACATGATTGCCACTTAGTGCCCTTATTGCAAACCATAACACCCGTTAACAAGTTGCTTGTTAACTTGTTGTTATTTACAAGTTGCTTATTAATAACACTGTGAAATTTGGGTCAGATCACCCCACATTCGTCATGTGTTGCTATCAGGAGTTTGCTGTATAATTGTGCTAGATCCAACTTATTTACTAACAACTAGCAAAGAGAACAGAGATGAAATGAATATTGTTAGCTGTGTCCCATTAAGAGAGAATAAAAGGGAATGTGCCTGCCACAGAGGCGGGGGGAGGAGGGGATAGGGGGATGGCAGGAAGGATACTGGAAACATTGGTGGTGGAGAATGGACACTGGTAGAGGGATGGGTATTCGATCACTGTATGACTGAAACGTAAGCAGGAAAGTGTTGGTGCTTGACTACAATGTATGCTGTCTCCCTTGGGAGGCAGTTTGTAACTCTGTCACTATATCTCACGGTGATTCATTAAAAATAAAAATAAGGTTTAATTTCTATAAATAGTTCCTGCTTCAAGCAATTCATTACTAAATGGGAAAAATATGATTAATCTGGTAATTACAGAGAATGGGTGATTGGCTATAGAGTGCCTGCCTTACACATGTGAGGCCCTGAGTCCAATCCCTAGTACCACAAAAAAATAAAAAAAATGGAAATAATGGAACTAAAACTTTCCACCCAGTAATGGCAAGACAGAGAGATGATTTTAATGATAGAATTGCCTTTTTCAGTGCTACCATCATGAATCAAAAAAAGGCCCATATGTTGGCTTTACATACAAAAACCACATCTAGTCTTCTATATTTTATTCAATAAAAAAAGCCATTACATGACCAGTGTATGTCGGGGAATAGGATATACCAGTTTGCAATCACTGTATTTGGAATTCAAGATATATTAGCTCATGAAAGTTGATTACTAAATTTTCAGGGCGTTATTAACTGATTGTCAAGCAAGACAATATAAAAAAAACTTCAAGTATACAAATCTACCACCAACTTGATTAGAGTCAAAACAAACAATAATAATCAATTTCCAAATCATTAATATTTAAATTTGTATGCTTGAATAATTATGTCTTATAAATTATTAACATTCAAAATTAAATATTCAATATGCAGTCCTCACCATTACCGTTCTATGTTTTATAGTTATCAAGGTATGCCAGACACAGTAACAACAAAGTCTCCAATGGAGACGTTACTGGGCCCGCTCGAGCAAATCGACGATCAACGGGAGGGCCTTTACTTTACTTACTTTACTTTCAACTCTTGCTGATGACTCATCCCAACTCCATGGCCAATGACACCAGGTCACCAAAAGCAAGCATAATGAAAGTGTTTAAACTCCTGACACTGCAAATAATACTCAGATTTGGCTTGGGTTTTGCAGGAAAAACTCACTATGAAATATTGACCAGCACCCCAGTCAACAAATTATCTCCTTAATGGATGCCTTGGGAAGGTAAAATCATGCTCGAATAGGAAAAACAGAGACACGATCCATGCAGATAAAAAGCAATAGCTAGAGAAAAAGAGGTTTGGTTGTTATCTCAGCCACCGAGGAGTTAAAATGTCAGTGTCAAAAAGTCTGAGAATGGACAAGACAACTCTTTCCAGGTTCATGTTTTAATTGGCTGTTGGTGCTTGACTACAGTGTATGCTGTCTTCCTTGGGAGGCACTGCACGTATGAGGGTGCACCAGCACTGATACTAGAAATCGCTAAGCAAAAAACTATGTCCCAAGTCATACCCAGTAGAGCAGCAGAACACCAACATACTGAATCATGCTGTATAGAGCCATGTACTTAAACATGCAAAAGGAAGTGACCAGCGCAGCACGTCCTTCCCTGTGTAAGAAAAGAGAAAGGAATGAAATGAAAGCCAGGCAGGGAAATTGGTTTAGATTTTTCTCTGCTGTTTGGCTGAGTTTAGGAGGGAAAAAAATCAAAAGCCTGATTACTTGACTGTTTTCTGACAGTCTGGCTCCAGCGCTGAGCCAGTGGGAGTTGGGCTGTCAGCATGCTAAATGACTAGATTTTCAGGAAAGAAAATGCCAGGCCAGGGTCTACAGGCCTTAGCCCAGCAATGGAGCTCAGACTGGGAGTTACTCTTATTCTTTCTGTGGGCATTATTTCAGCCCTGAAATGAACATAATTTCATTCCTAGGTTCCTAAGAGACCTGGGAAGTGACCCTGTATCTCTCATCTACTCTCTAATGTAATTTGGAAGGTCATTTTCCTTCTCACAGTTTCTTCATCTGTGAACTAAGGAATTTAATTAAGTCGGTGGGAAAATGGGGGTGTGTGGATTCTGTGTTTCTGCAGGGGTCCAAAAGTTTGGCGAACATTTCACTTGAATTCTATTTGACAGTCCAACTTTTACTGAAATAACACTAAGTCAGCTGGAGCAATAGCACAGTGGTAGGGCATTTGCCTTGCGCGCAGACAGCCCGGCCAAGCTGGGTTCAATTCCTTCACCCCTCTCAAAGAGCCCAGCAAGCTACTGAGAGTATATTCAATATGCTAAACACAGTAACAACAAGTCTTAAAATGGAGACGTTACTGGGCCCGCTAGAGCAAATCATGAACAACAGGAGGACAGTGTTACAGTGTTACAGCACTAAGTCAATGTGTCCACTTAAATTAGTCATAAATTAAATTTAAATAGAGTGGAAATAATGAACACGCTCAGTTGTGTTGATTGCTTTGTATATATAAGGATATATTTAAAGCATAAAATAGATTACTTTTTTTTTCTTTTTGGGTCACACCCGGCCATGAACAGGAGTTACTCCTGGCTCATGCACTCAGGAATTACTCCCGATGGTGCTCAAGGAACCATATGGGATACGAACCCGGGTCAGCTGTGTGCAAGGCAAATGCCCTACCCGCTGTGTTATCACTCCAGCCCCAATAGATTACATTTGAAATGTCACTTCCATTTGTTTCTTTGGGTGAAATAGTTTAAACATCTTTGTCATAAAGGTTCCTTCAGATTCCAAAATCTTATTCTCATACAGGTTTTAATCAGGGATTAGCTGCTGCGATTTGCCCAGCCTAGAGGCAACTTCTCTTTTCTCACAACTTCTTCCCTCACCCCTTAGAAAGACATTCCCACTGGACCCAGCTGAAGCACGGAATCCACCTCCTTGGCCACCATCCTACCTTCACTCTTGCCATACTTGCCATGATTTATCTGTGCCTGTATTTAGTCCCCGACTTCCTCACAGATTCTTTATGCTACCTAAGGATGTTTCATTTTCCTGCTTCTGGGTCCCTGTCAGTGCCCCAAATAGAACCTGCTAACTGGAGCACATGATACTACTTATTCAATATTTATTTGCCCAATGCAGGAATAACATTTGAGAAGTTGGGAAAAGCTATCTAAATCACTATTTTAATGCAGTGAAAAGAGTACAGTGTTCGTAGATTAAACATGCTTAAAATAAATCAATTCTAAGACCATCCCCAATCCTACGTGGCCATGTGGATTTGGGAACATCAGTTACTCTCTATGTCGTGTGTTATTTGTGAAAGGGTGACCATTCCTGTGCCCAGGCTATCTTGAAGTATAAGATAGGCATTAAAGCACTATATTGACATAAATATGCTATTGCAATAACCCATAGTAACCATAATGTAAACCATTTCAATCATTCAAAAATCCAGTTCTGTAAAATAACAGATGGGAAGAAAACCCCAGGGGAAATTTTAGTAGAAGTAGCAAAGATGAAATATTTTTAAGACTGAGGATAAAACGGATGCTCCAGGACCAAAGAGATAAGTCAAAGGGCCACAGCACATCCAAGCCAGAGGCCTGCGTTCGATCCTGGCACCATGTGGTCCCTAAAATACTATCAGGAGGGAACCCCTCCCCAAGCATAAAACTAGAAGTAGCCTTTAGCCACCATCAAGTGTGGGCAAAAATAACTAAAAATAAACAAAAGTATAGTCTAAGGAAGCATAAAGAGGCAAATGAGAAATAAAAATGTTTTTATCAATCCCTTGTGATAAAGTGTCTAAGGAGATACATTTAAAATAAAAATAACTGGGGCAAGGTTGAAGGTCAACCATAAACCATTTGCCTAGTATATACAAGGTCCTGAGTTTCACCCTAAGACTGAAAACAATCAAAATAAGATAATTCATAATAAAAATATGATGATAATGATGTTTGACACTTTCAACACAGAAATCAAGTAAAGAGTCTAGTCTTCTGAAAAATATTTAAAAACCCTACTCAGGAACTTTCTCTAACAATGTCATTACTCTTCTGAGTGTTAAGTTTATCTCCTGGTAAATATATCTGAGAGCAGAATATTTAACCACAGTCTGCCACAAAGCATAGAGCCCTCTTCTTCCTGGGACACAAAATGTTATTGGTCTTTCACAGGCAAACCATGGAATCCATACCTAAAACATCACAGCAATTAAAACACTGCCTAGAGGACTGGTTCACAGTTGGAAGCCTGCCTCGTGTGCTGTGGGAGAAGGCAGCTGGGATAGAAAAGGGACCACTAAGTCAATGATAGTTGGAGAGATTGCTCAGGATGGAAGATGTGTGTTGAAAATAGACAAAGGACTAAACATGGTGGCCTCTCAGTATCTGTATTGCAAACCATAATGCTCAAAAGCAAAGAGTGAGTAAGAAGGAAAGTGCCTGCCATAGAGGCTGGAGTGGGGTGGGAGTGGTAAGAAGAATACTGTGGACACTGTATTCTTGGTGGTGGGAAAGGTGGACTAGTGGAGGGATGGGTGTTTGATCATTGTATGACTAAAACTCAATCATGAGAGCTTTGTAACTGTATCTCATGGTGATGGAAGGGAAGGGAAGGGAAAGGAAGGGAAGGGAAGGGAAGGGAAGGGAAAGGAAGGGAAGGGAAGGGAAGCCTCCTGCTCTGAAGGGAGACACAAAAATAAATCTTAAAACTGAGCAGTTTGCTGCAGAGAAGCCTCCGAACTTTGCAATAGGCCACTCTCGCCAGGCTACTCCAGCCGGGAACAGGTACTGTCCCTCTGCCTGCCCCCTAGGAATCCCTGTGGCTGCCATCTTACAGAACCCAGTGAGAAGTCCAGGTATGCAGTAGTGGTAGTGGCAAATGCCAGGCCTCACGGGACAGTGGAGGAGCAGGTCCCTATCCTTCCCCTCTTCTCCCCCCTCCCTCACCCTGATGGGACTATGATTATGACCACAACTGCCCCAGGCTACTTATTAAACTCCTAAATGGCCACAATCCAGAGGCACACAAACAAATCTCAGACCTGAGCAGCTAGCTGCAGTGATCTCTCCAGACCCTAATTATTAAAATATTAGAACTCCAGAAGACATTATAAGCAATACAAAACAAATTGTCTAGCATTGCCTTCTTGGCAGGTTTGAGTGGTAGTGGGAAAATTCCAAATAATAATGATGGGACTGGTGTTGGAATATTGAATGTAATCAAAGTAGAGAGTATTGTGGAAATTGTGTGCCACACAGGCAGGAGAGGGGTTGGGATGGGGGGATACTGGGGATTTTGGTAGTTAAAGATGTGCACTGGTGAAGGGATGGGTATTTGATTATTGTATGACTGAAACTCAAACATGAAAGCTTTGTAACTATCTTATGGTAATTCAATTAAAAAAGAAAAAAGAAAAACAAAAAACAGAACACTTCCTGAAGAATATATTTACTTACTTGATAAGGTGAGGCACACACTCAATGTTTGGTGTTTTGGAAGTAAAGGGTGAAGCCACAGAAGCCTCCTGCTCTGATAAAGAGATGCCCACGTGAGCCATTTTCAAAGCCTGTAAACAAAAAGTCACCTTAGTGTCCGTCCACAGCCGTACTGATATACTAAGACCACTTAAGAAAAAGCTCAGAGATCTATGCACTGGCCAGAAAGTGGCTAGTCACCGCACTTTGATCTTCCTGCTGTCAGAGATGGTAGAGCTGGAGAGACTGTTCAGTGGATTGGAGAGCATGTTTTGTTTACAAGAGGCCTGGGTGTGATCCCTGGCACCTCATGTTCCCCACATACCACAAGGAGTATCCCCTAAGCACTGCTAGTGTGGCCCCAAACCACTGAGCTATTGTGGTGGCTCTGGCCACAGCCTTCCCAAACCTTTCATATCGGTTTCTCTGTCAAGAGGATGGAGGTGGTGCATATGCCAAGAGATAACTATCGCTAATGGGCTTCAGGCAAGTATGGTGGAGAGTGAGGTCATGCCCCCACGCCGCCAGCTACTCACCCCACAGTCATTGGCTCCATCACCGCACATACCTACAAAGTAACTGAAAGGCAGTCATGTCAATCGCAGAGGAGATCAAAGCCATCTGACTGAATCATTTTTCTAATTAAAAAGATAAAATGAGCTCATTGCGTAGGGTTCAAACGTATGTACTTCAAGGGTGTTTCCCTAAGGCTCTGGTTGGACTAAAAGAAAAATTGGAACTCAGCAGTTCACACAATCCTTTGAGAAATCCAGCACACCATTCTTGCAGGAACCTCCTGTGAGCCAAATCTTACGAAGTAAACTTGCCAGCCATGTAATGGCTGCTTCTAATCTAGGATGAGACAGTCCTGTCAGTCGAGAAAGGAAAGAACTGAAACTAGAAGATCTCGATTTCTCTCTGTTCACTTGATTGTCTTGACCATCCCACTCTCTTCCCTACAAAGCATTGTAAGTGCACAGTACGGGCAATTATCTGATGAATTTGAAAATGATGAGCAAGAATTTGTGTGTGCTATTAATACAGCTACTGTGTCAGCAGTCACTCAATGGAAAACATGTGGCTTTCCTACAAAACACACCAGTCTTGGACAGTGGCAAAAGAAAATGCATGTCAGTTTTGAGATTGTTTTTTGAGCCTGAGTGACTCTTGCTCCCTCAAACTGTCAACAGAGATGAGGGACAGGATGCTTAACAGTATTTGGTCAGGTTGGACAGAACTTCCTGTGCGTCCCTTCCATGCTCCTGGTGGAGGGCAGCTTCTCCACTATGTTTTCAGTCACATGGAGGAAGTGGTTCTTTCCTAACTGGGAAACTTGTCGAATGATTGAATCAAATAAGAACGAGGATGGGACAGGAGTGAGTAGGTGTTCTAGGAAATGGGTAAAGCCATAGAGAAAGCCCCCAGGGCTCCTGAAGGATGCATTCATAGGAAATAAAGGGTTCCCAAAGGTGAGCTCCTTATTTGAGCTGCTCGTTGTGGTAGGAGAGTCCTCGTGGGTTTAAAGAGCGGTAATTTTCTAATTTTGGATAAAGATGTCTTGGCATAAGGGTTTTTATTTATGTGCTTATGTGAATGTCATCATCTGTATCTCCTTGTAGGGTAGCTATGATGAGAACTTGTAAAAGTCAAGTCTAAATTTTCATTGTACCTTCATAAATTGAGTGCAAACTACCTTTCCAGGCTGATTTACCTCCACACCTTTCCTTTCTCCTTACGGTCTAACTCAATGGTGCTCAATGCTGAATCCAAAATTGAATCATAGGTTGAGAGTTTTGAAACCACTGGGACCCACAGGCCCCCCAGCGAGCAATTACATCAAAACTTCAGGACAATCCTGTACTGATATTGTCATTTTCTCAGTTTCCAAGTTGACTGTCACATGCACCCAGGTGAAGAGCTTTCCAGTCCTCGGCCTGAAAAGATGGCTCACAAGACAGGAGCCCCGGCTGGAATTCCAGGTTCAATTCCCAACTCTGCAGGATTCCCTAAGGACTATCAGGTATGAACACCCCTGCATAATATGACTAAATTTGGAAAAGAAAATGAAGATACAGGGAGAGTGGCACATGTTTGGCAAATACAAGATCCTGGTTTGATACCCACCACTGTGTGACCTCCCGAAATGCTGGACCTAATGATCCCCAGTGCCACAGAACATGAACAATGCAACCTCGGGGCACTAGCATTGAACCCTGTTAGCTAATAATTGTAGAGAATTTTTTCACCTCTAAAAATGTGTATTTGGGGGGAAATAAAGTTCAAACTAAGCAAAGTGGTATCTTGCACCTCTTATACCTCCCCCCTCCAAACATCATGCTTCATGTACTTCATGCCATTCGCATTGGTAAAGAACTTACCCTAGAGAGTCAAGGTGGTAGATCAATGGGTGAGCCCATGCTCTGTATGTGGGATACCCAGGTTTATGCCTGACAACACATGGTCCCCTGAGCACCGACAGGAGCAACACCTGAACACCGCTAGATATGGCTCCCAAATCAAAAGAAGGCAAGAAAAGAACTTACTCCAGTTTCTGAAATTCTTCCACCAGAGTGGACTTCTGTCCTGGAGACATTCTTGCAAAGATGGTCCCATTGATTAGTATCTGTAAGGAAACCCAAAGGAAAATTCTTTATCATGTGACTCAGATCACATGCATGGAACAACTGGTGACATTGAAAATACTGACTGGGTCATGCCACCCATGAATGGGAAGACCAACATTTCTAAGAAGTGATCTTTTGGATATTAAGATACTCTTAGAGATGCTGAACATCAGATAAATATGCAGAAAAGATCAAAATTCAGTCAAGATGACTGCTGAATAAGTCGTTGGTGGAAACTATGACATGCAGGAATTTCGCTGTGCTGTCATGGAAAGTGTGTTGCTGAAAAATTCTAAACTCCTCAGACCCTTAAACGAGTTGAGTCTGAGAAATAGTAAGCAAACAATAAATCAACATTGTAAGAGAAAAAAAGGAGAAATTGCTTCCCAAAAAACTATCAGAAATTGTGAAAGCATAGCCTAAAAGTGAAATAGTAACTATTTGTCATCCATAACCATACCATCTGGGTTTGGCCAATGGTGATGGTGATGATTAGCTAATATTCCAAGCCTAATCTGGACTATGGATCCGTTGGTGGTTCAGAGTTTAAAAGCCCATAGAGACTCCATTCACCTGGTTTTCATGCTAGTCTCAGTTTTTTGTTTTAAGAACTGATGTTTGTTCTTGCTCTTCTTGACAATAAATTAAACTTAAAGTTCATTCAGTCTTCTAATCCCTGCTACAATTTTTCTTAAACAGTATGTAAAATAATAAGTAATTAAATGCAAATAATATATCTTGTGTGTACATATACACACATATGTGTATATATTAATTTATATATCACTTACCTCCTCAATTATGAACATTTTTACTCATTATAAAGTTTGATTTGACCCTATGCTATTCCAAGGTTTTTTTTTAATCCAAAACCTAGCAAGAGGGCTGGAGTGATAGTACAGCCAGTAGGGTGTTTGCCTTGCACGCGGCCAACCTGGGTTCAATTCCCAGCATCCCATATGATCCCCTGAGCACCGCCAGGAGTAATCCCTGTGCATGAGCCACGAGTAATCCCTGTGCATCGCCAAGGTGTGACCCAAAAAGGAAAAAAAACCCTAGCAAGAATTTCTCTATTCTTGGCCTGCCTTCTAGTATAATTGCAGGACTTCCACTAAAATATAAAACCATAGCAATATTGTGATAGTCATTTTGAAGCAATACTTATCATTTGAGAAGTCATTGGAATGTTAATCTTACAGTCAGTGGGATATTGTTTAATCAAGTTTAATTATTTATATCTAGAAGCAAACGAGCTAGCAGTAACTTATGCAAAGCTCTGCCAATCTTAGAATATATCTTCCCTATTATTTTATTTTGGGTTTGAGGGCACACCTGGCAGTGATCAGGGCTTAGTCTTGGATCTGCACTCAGGGATCAGTTTTGGTCGACTCAGGGGCCATATGAACTGATGGTGATTGATCTCAGGTTAACTCTGTATAAAGAAAACACCCTACCCACTTTACTATTACTCAGCCTATATTTTACCTATTTAAAAGCTTGTCATTACATAAGATCACACTGTATAAGTGACAGCATCATAATCTTCACCTGTAGACTGGGATCCTCTTATTACTTACCTTTGGCAATAGACTGCTGAAGTGTTGACTTATAATCTGGAAGGATTTTCCACTTAAAGCAAAATGATAATTTCCTTCTCTGCCATGATCAGAGAATTCTTCCCTGATGTTAATATAACTGTCCTGCAAACCAAGACACAAGTTATTTTAAAAGTGCTAGGGAGGTTTGTCCCCAACACTGTGCCAGTCTTCTTCCCCTCCCAGGTCAGTTAACCCGCCGGTATTCAAACCCAGGACTTAACTTTCTCTGCACAAGCACCCCAGACATCCTCTAGGACCCTGGGACAACAGCATCCCTGAGCCTCTTCCTCTTCGTCCCCAATGCTGTGTCGTTCTTCTTCCCCTCCCAGCTAATAAGCCCCCCCCCCCCCCCCCCGACACCAGGTACCTGTGGGGGAGTGGCCTTTTCAGAAGTGGGTGTGGCTTCTGTAGAAGTGGGAGTGGCCTAATTTTGGGCCAGCCAATGTTCACACAACTGCAGGTAGTTTAGTCATACCAAGAATTCTAGTGTAACATCTCAGTCCCCATGCCTACACACCAACATGAAGAAATAACGCGAATCCCCACCACGTGGGGAGGATGATGAAGAGTCCAGAAGCCTCAGTAGGTGCTACTCACCTAAAGGACCTCTCTGAGACATAATTCAGATATGAAGTAATGAAGATATTCAATGAACTCAATGAAACAGTCACACAGATATTCAGTAACATGAGAGAAACAATCAAGAAATTATGGGAAGAAATGAGAGCAGAAATTGGAAAACTATGCACAGAAATATCACAAATAAAAGGTTCCGTGGATGAAATAAAAAACTCAGTCTGTGCCCTCAACAGTAGAATTACCACAGCTGAAGACAGAATTAGTGAGCTGGAAGATCAGTTGCACCAAGCCAACAGGCAACAATATACAATGGCAAGAGACCTTAAAATAGCTCTAGAGCGAATCAGAGTCCTAGGAGATGATTCCAAGAGGAACAACATTAGAATCATTAGAGTACCAAAAGGTCAGGGAAACAATCCCCCCAAAAAAGCCACCATTAAACAAATCATTGCTGAAAAATTCCCAGAGCTGGACAATGCAGCCATTCAGATTCAAGGAGCCCGAAGGATGCCAGCTCAAAGAGACCCTAACAAAAGCAATCCAAGACATATCATAGTTAGAATGATCGATGCTGCCAATAGAGACACAATACTGCAAGCAACAAGGTCAAAGAAGGAAATCACATACAAAGGGGCACCCCTTAGTTTCACAGCAGACCTATCAGAGGAAACCCTCCAAGCCCGAAGACCATGGTGGGATATAATTAAAAAAAACTCACTGAAATGAACACTTCACCAAGAATACTCTCTCTGGCTAAACTCTCACTCAAACTTGAAGGAACAGTACACTATTTTCTAGATAAACAGCAGCTCAGAAACTTCATAGAGTGAAAAACCAAGCCTAAAAGAAGGGTTAAAGGGGCTAATATAAGACAAGACAAACCACACAAACACAATAGACCCTTACAAAAAGATGACACAAAACCCCATAACAATAATCTCTCAACATCAATGGTCTAAATTCACCAAATAAGAGACACAGAGTGGCAAAATGGATTCAGAGACAGAACCCTACATTCTGCTGCCTACAAGAAACTCATCTGAACAGTCAGAGCAAACACAGACTCAAAGTTAAAGGATGGAAAACAATCCTTCAAGCAAACAGCTCCCTCAAGAAAGCTGGGGTGGCCATACTAATATTGGACAACATAAATTTCAGGTTGAAAAAGATTAGATGGGATAGCGAGGGCTATTTTCTATTCATCAAGGGGTGTACATATCCCTTGATGACTAGAAAATAGAAAGAAATCACACTCTTAAATGTATAAACACCTAATGAGGGAACAGATAAAATTTAAAACAACTGGTAACATATTTTAAGGAGGACAATGCAAGCAACACAATAGTAGCCGGAAACTTCAACATCGCCTTATCACCTCTGGTTAGATCAACAAGAACAAAACTCAGCACGCAAACTTTGGCTTTGAAATAATAAATAGAAGAGATAGGGCTTATAGACCTATACAGGGCTTTATACCCCAAAAAGAAAGAATATACATTCTTCTCCAGTGCACATGGAACATTTTCCAAAATAGACCATGTGCTAGGACACAAAACATACCTCAATAGAGCTAGGAAGATAGAAATAGTATCAACAATCTTTTCAGATCAAGATGCACTGAGAATAGAAGTCAATCACACACAGACCCGGAGAACCAAATCAAACACCTGGAAATTAAACAACTCAATGTTGAACAATGAGTGGGTCAGGAAGGAAGTCAAGGACGAGATCAAAAGATACCTGGAAGCAAATGAGAATGAAGACACGAGCTACCAGAACCTATGGGATGCAGCTAAAGCCATGTTAAGGGGAAAATTTATAGCTCTGCAAGCATTTCTCAGGAAGGAACAAAGGGCTCACATAAACAACTTGACTTCACAACTCAAGATCTTAGAAAAGGATCAACAAAAAGGAGCCCAAATTAGGCATAAGGAAAGAGAAAATAAAACTTAGAGCAGAAATCAATGACATGGAAACCAAAAAAAATAAAAACCAATCTGAAAGATCAATGAAACCAAGAGCTGGTTCTTTGAGAAAATAAATAAATAAGGTAGATAAATCACTAGCAATACTCACAAAGGAAGAGAGAGAGAGAGAGAGAGAGAGAGAGAGAGAACCCCTAATAAACCGAATCAGAAATGAGAAGGAGGATATCACAACAGAAACCAAAGAAATTCTAAAGATAATCAGAGACTACTTTGAAAGTCTGTATGCCACGAAGCAAGAGAACCTAGAAGAAATGGATAAATTCCTGGATTCCTATAATCTCCCCAGGCTGAATCAAGAAGATCTAGAGTATCTGAATAGACCTATTAGCATCAAGGAAATTGAAACTGTAATCAAAAGTCTTCCCAAAAACAAAAGCCCAATTCCAGATGGATTCACCAGCGAATTTTTTCAAACATTTAAAGAGTACCTATTGCCAGTTCTTCTCAAGCTTTTCCAGGAAATTGAAGAAACAGAAAATCTCCCAAACGGTTTCTATGAAGCACATACCTCTCTAATACCAAAATGAAACAAAGACACCACAAGAAAAGAAAACTACAGGCCAATATCCCTGATGAAAATGGATGCAAAGATTCTCAAAAAATACTAGCAAATAGAATTCAACAACTCATCTAAAAGATCATACAACATGACCAAGTGGGATTCATCCTGGGATGCAAGGATGGCTTAACATTCGGAAATCAATCAACATAATCCATCATATCAACAAAAGAAAAGATAAAAAACATATGATCATATCAATAGATGCAGAGAAAGCATTTGACAAGAACCAGCACCCGTTTATGATGAAAACCCTCACCAAAATGGGGATAGAGTGGACTTTCCTCAATATAGTTAAAGCCATCTACCACAAGCCTACAGCAAACATCATCCTCAATGGAGAAAAACTGAGAACATTCCCTCTAAGATCAAGGATGCCCACTCTCCCCACTTCTGTTCAATATAGTACTGGAAGTACTTGCAATAGTGGTTTGGCAAGAAAAATATATTAAGAACATTCTGGTATAAAAGAAGAAATCAAGCTCTCACTATTCGCAGATGATATGACACTATACTTAGAGAACCCTAAAACCTCTACCAAGAAACTCCTAGAAACAATAGACTTGTACAGTAAAGTTGCAGGCTATAAAATCAATACCCAAAAGTCCAAGGCTTTCCTATATGCAAATAGTGAGAGAGAATAAAGTGACATGAAAAAAAATGCTGTTCAAAATTGTACCCCAGAAAATCAAGTACCTAGGAATCAGCTTAACTAAGGAAGTAAAGGACCTGTACAAGGAAAGAATACAAAATACTACTTCAGGAAATAAAAGAGGACAAGAAAAAATGGAAAGATATCCCCTGCTTATGGATCGGAAGAATTAACATTGTCAAAATGGCAATACTCCCCAAAGCATTGTAGAAATGGAGCAAACACTCCTGGAATTCATATAGAACAATAAGCTCCCACGAATAGCTAAAGCAATTCTTGGGAAAAAGAAAATGGGAGGAATCAACCTCCCTAACTTCAAACTCTGCTACAAAGCAGTGGTCATTAAAAGAGCATTGTACTGGAACAAAAGCAGAGCTGCAGACCAATGGAACAGGGTTGAATATATTGACATCTCCCCCCAAAATATGAGTATCTGATCTTTGATAAAGGAGCAAGAAATGTGAAGTGGAGCAAGGAAAGCCTCTTTAACAAATGGTGCTGGCAAAACTGGACAGCTACATGCAAAACAATGGGCTCAGATCTCCGCCTAACACCATGTACAAAAGTAAGATCAAAATGGATTAAAGACCTCAACATCAGACCAGAATCCATAAGGTACATTGAAGACAAAGTCGGCAAAACCCTCCATGACATTGAAGCTAAAGGTATCTTCAAAGGTGTCACACACCACTGGCCAAGCATGTGAAAAAGAGATAGACAAATGGGATTATCTTAAACTAAGAAGCGTATGCACCTTAAAAGAAACAGTGACCAAAAGACAGTCAAAAGACAGTCTACAGAATGGGAAAGGATTTTCACCCAATACCCATCTGACAAGGGATTGATATCAAGGATATAGAAAGTACTGGTTGAACTCCACAAGAAGAAAACATCCAACCCCATGAAAAAAATGGGGCGATGAAATGAACATAAACTTTCTTAAAGAAGAAATCTGAATGGCTAGAAAGCATATGAGAAAATGCTCTACATCATTAATCATCAGGGAGATACAGATCAAAACAACAATGAGATATCATCTCACAACACAGAGACTGGCCCACATCCAAAAGAACAAAAGCAACTGGTGCTGGCGCAGATGCGGCGAGAAAGGGACCCTCCTTCACTGCTGGTGGGAATGATGACTGGTTCAGCTCTTTTGGAAAACAGTATGGACGATTCTCTAAAAATTAAATGTTGAGCTCCCATTTGACCCAGCAATACCACTCCTGGGAATATATCCCAGAGAGGCAAAAAAGTATAGTTGAAGTGACATGCACTTGTTTGTTCATTGCAGTACTGTTTACAATAGCCAGAATCTGGAAAAAACCTGAGTGCCCAAGAACAGATGACTAGTTAAAGAAACTTTGGTACATCTACACAATGGAGTACTATGTAGCTGTTAGAAAAGATGAAGTCATGAAATTTACATACAAGTTGTACTACATGAAAAGTATCATGCTAAAAAAGTATAGTCGAAGTGACATCTGCAATTGCCTGTTTATTGCAGCACTCTTTACAATAGCCAGAATCTGGAAAAAACCTGAGTGCCCAAGAACAGATGACTGGTTAAAGAAAGTTTGGTACATTTACACAATGGAGTACTATGTAACTGTTAGAAAAGACAAAGTCACGAAATTCACATACAAGTGGTACTACATGGAAAGTATCATGTTAAGCGAAATGACTCAGAAAGAAAGGGATAGACATAGAAAGATTGCATTCATCTGGGGAACATAAAGTAACAAAATAGGAAACTATCACCCAAGAATGACCGAGATTAGTACCAAGAATTCTACTCCATGACTTGGAGGCCAACCACACATACTAGGGAAAAGGGAGCTCAGATAAAGAGGGGAACACCAAATAAAGGTGTTGGGAGGACCCTCCCAGGATGGGAGTTGCATGCTGAAAGTAGACTATAGACCAAACATGATTGCCAGTCAATGTTTCTTTTGCAAACCACAACACCCAAAATGAGAGAGAGAACAGAGGGGAATGCCCTGCCACAGAGTCAGAGTGGGATGGGGGGAGTGGGGGTTGGAGGGATACTGGGATGCGTGGTGGTGGGAAGAGGGCACTGGTGGAGGGACGGTATTTGATCATTATATAATTGAAACCCAAGCACAAAAATGTGTAAGTCAGCAACTGTACCTCATGATGTCTCACTATTAAAAAAAATTTTTAATAAAATAAAAAAAGAAAAAAGGAAAAAAAGAAAAGTATCTTGCTAAGTGAAATGAGTCAGAAAGAGAGGGACAGACATAGAAAGATTGCATTCATCTGGGGAACATAAAGTAACAAAATAGGAGACAAACACCCAAGAATAGCCGAAATAAGTACCAGAGTTTACTCCATGGCTTGGAGACCATCAGCACATGCTAGGGGAAAAGGCAGCTCAGATAGAGAAGGGAGCACCAAATGAAGGGTATTGGGAGGACCCTCCCAGGATGGGAGATGCATGCTGAAATGAACGTGATTGCCACTCAATGCCTCTTTTGCAAACCACAGCACCCAAAAGGAGAGAGAGAACAAAAGGGAATGCCCTGCCACAGAGGCAGGGTGGGATGGGGGTATGGGGATACGAGGGATTCTAGGATCAGTGGTAATGGAGTATGGGTACTGGTGGAAGGATGGACACTCGATCATTGTATAGCTGAAAACCCAAGCACAAAAATTTGTAAGTCTACAACTGTATCTCATGGTATTTCACTAATAAAAGTTTTTTTAAATGTATATTTGTACATTAACATACAGAATTGAATATAAAGAAATATAGTAAACATTATTCAGCATAATATTTATTAAGTTACTTATTTCCACAAAGCTAAGGACTTTTCCAAGTGGAATTTTCTGGTAATTTTTAGAAAGTTTTTGTAGACGTTAACAGAGGGGGGAAAAAAAACTTTATTTAAAGTAGATAAAGAAGTTTCAGTTAAAAAATATTAAAAATAAAAATAAAAGTGGTAGGGAACTGTAAGTATATTTTTGAGAAGCTATTCCAATCTGGATTCTCACTTTGAAACTCCTACTACAAACTTGATACCTCAGAGAAGCACTTTCTCTTTGCTGAATCAACCTTTGCACCTCACAGCCTCCAGAGAATTGGAGACTAACACTTACTCATGTCCTGTTCTCATACTGATTTGATCTCAGTGAGTCCCAGAGATGAGCACATTTCACACATTTCAAGTGTAAAATACAAAAGCACTGTAGCTTAGCAAATCTCTCCCTGAAGTGAGAACTTACATTTTTTTAAACAGAATTAGTATTGTGACACAATAGAGAGAGGATACTGATAAGATTGAAGATAAATGAATAAAATCTTTTTTCCCCTACTTTGAAGACACACTCTGATTTTCCAATGCATACAGAAGTACCTCTCCTAGAGACTAAATTCCCTCTGAAACCTGTGTGTAGTCTAACATGCAAGGGAAAACAGAAAATAACATTTTCGACTCACTTACTATATCCATCATCAAATGGAACCAATGGGTTTTTTTCAGTTTAAAAGAGTAGACTATTTGTGGAATCCAGGAAAGTACCATACCTTAAAGTTCAGTAGGTACAGCATAGGGGACTTATGCAATAGAGTTGATTGAATTGCATGTGTAGTAGGCATTTGGGGAAGAATACTGAGTCTAGATCACTGATGCTAGCCAAAGCTCCTCAGTCACAATCACCATGAGTCAATAGCAACAAGCTCTGTTCTATACCTGATTCCCATATGCAGTGTGTTTCTTTTCTTCTACTAATTTCCAAGATAAAAATGCAGAAGAGGACCCGGTGGCTTCATTTGCCTCAATTAGAATCACCTTCTGGCTTTCAGAAACCATTCCAGACTTTCTGGCCACTGTTATTGCAGTCTGAAGATTGTCACCTAGAGGAAATGAAGAGGCCCAAGATGAGTGTGAAGTGATAAAACCAATTAATGTGAGACCTTGAAAATGAGGGTGAACAATTTAGACCATATATTAGATATGAAGAGGAATCATATTGAAGGTATCTTTGACCCCTGACCTCCCAGGGTTCCATGAAGCCTTTCATGGTTCTTATTGCTGTTCATTTAGTTAACTTCATAGCAGTCCATTTTCCCAAGCAGGCCTTGGGAAAAAGAAAATGGGAAATAAAAATAAAAAGGCAAATTCATACCTGTTTTTGTCATAGGTTAGGAGCATGGTTCAACAGAGTCTTACAGATTTAGTATAATTTCTGGTGATCCCACTTCCAGACAAACTATATAAACATACTATATATCTTTTCTACTGGTTACAATTAAAAATTTGGGATAAAATCTAAAACTACTACTCAAGAACTTTGGAAGTAGAATAGAATCAAGTAGAATGTTAGAAGGAAGTTAAATTTAGAAAAATGAGGTGAAGAAATTATTACCTTTTTTACAAAATATTGAAAATAAAAATTTCACTGAATTTCTTTAATAGAAAAATGGAAATAACCCAAGAAAATGTCAACACACTTGAAGCAAAATCACTAGACATCAATCAATATAAAAATAAAAGAAAATTTGATAAAGGGTGTTGGGAAGATTCTCCCAGGATGGGAGAAGCATGCTGAAAGTAGACTATAGACCAAACATGATTGCCACTCATTGCCTCTTTTGCAAACCACAAAACCCAATAGGAGAGAGAGAACAAAAGGGAATACTCTGCCACAGAGTCAGGGTGGGATGGGGAGGATGTGGGGTGGGAGGGATACTGGGATCCATGGTGGTGGAAAATGGGCACTGGTGGAAGGATGGGTATTTGATCACTGTATAATTGGAACCCAAGCACAAAAATTTGTAAGTCTACAACTGTACCTCATGGTGTCTCACTAATAAAAATTTTAAAAAATAAAATTAAACAAAAGAAAAGAAAATTTGAAAGCCAACTGAACAGAGCCTAAGTGTGGCTTAAAGTCTAGTAATTGACTTTTCTTTTTGCAACACAAATGCTGGATGTAAGCCTTGATGCCCAGGCACACACTTCAAAGCTCAAACAATCCCAAGTAAATCACATGATTACATAGTCTGGTCCTCCATCCCCCATTTCCTTTGTTTTCTCATTTTTATAAGAAATCCTGACTGATCTAGATAACTGACCACTTGGGATGCAATTGTGCTTTTTCCTTTTTCTTTCTTCTTACTTTTGATCTCTTTTGATTGCTTCAATTACTACTCTCATGTTTTAAATTCACCTATAGCGAATCCATGAAACCTTAGTCTCAGTTCTCAACTCCAGTATAATCAGAAACACAGATTCATTCTCTCTGTGGCCCAGGTATACTATGTAAGTTCCATAATAGGAAATAGTGGGTAATTGTAAATAATAGGACTCTATTTTTTCAAAGTTCCCAGATTATTGTCGCTGAAAGACATCTTGTAATCATAAAAGAATTCCAAGAGTTGGTGAATTACAATATTGACTACTTGGGGGAAATATCTAGGAGAAAGAAGCTCACCAGGATTTGGGTGAGCATTACTAGTCAATACTAGTCAATAGTGAGCATTACTAGTCAATAGTGTAATTATTAATATGATGAGACCAATAAAAATAGTAAAAAATATATATTCTGTAATAGTAAAAAATATATGTTCTATGTAATTATTAATAAGATAAGACCATTACAAAACAGCAAAAAATATATATTCTATGCCCACATTCATGGCTTTAGATTTTAAGATTGAAGAAACAATAAATAGGAACAGAAAAACAGCTTGAAAAACGTAATAGTGGGAAATGTCCCAAATACGGGAAAAGACTTAAATTTATAGATTCAAGAAGCTCAGTGAATCCCAAACAGAATAAACTCAGTAGTGAATCACACAAAGATATTTTATAAATAAATGCTGAGTGTAAGATATAGACAACACATTAAACTGAGTTGGGGAAAACAATATACTATATACAAGAGAATTATTAGTCAAATTGTCATATATTTCTCACCCAAAACTATAGGAGCGAGAAGAATGCGGAATAAAGAACTATCAACTTAAACTTATATATTTAGTAAGACTACCCATAAAAATGAAAAGAAATTTAGGGGGTTTGTTTGTTTTTTGGTGTCATATCTGGCAGAGCTCAGAGGCTATCACAGGTTATGTTTGCTGGTTATTCCCAGAGTGCTTTTGGCAGTTGGTTGGCTGATGCTGAAGAGCAAATGCAGGCATCCTGCATGCAAAGCAAGAGCTCAAACCATGGAGCCATCTCTCCAGCTTTGTGGGCTGAAGGAAAATGATGCCCAAAAGAAACGTAAAATAAAGAAGGGAAAAAATAACATAAATAAAAATCTGGATAAGTATGTCTCCTTTTCTATTATTGTGTTCTTGATATTTTCAAAAGTAACGACTTGTTTTTAAAAAATAATGAGAGAACTTGAGGAAAATCAAATATAGCACACACATATGTGTGCATGCACCCCACAAATGTTTGTATCGTACATACACACACACACACATTTCCTAGAGTTTTTCCCACACCCCAAACACTATTTAAGAACAGTAAACTAACCCATGCAACTCCTAGGAACTTTTTAACATTTTTATGCTGGAATTGGAGATATTACTATTGATTAATTTTCAATGTAGTGCACAATCTATGCTGACTCAACATTCGTATTCCGCCATTTAACAAGAAAAATCATAATTATTGCATGATACATTCCTTCTCACTTAGGTGATATCCCAAGTGTCCCTTCTGAGAGGGAGTAGCACTGTAGCACTGTCCTCCCATTGTTCATCAATTTGCTCAAGCGGACTCCAGTAACGTCTCACAATAAATTGTGAGACTTGTTGTTACTGTACCTCATCTAAAGTAATGGTCAGACTCACCTTTCCACATCACCCTGTTTTATTTTTATGCTGCATGATGCTTATTAGTAGTTTATTTGGTCAATAAATTGGTTAACTTCTATGTCTCCCCACCTAGATGAAAGCACAGTGAAAACAGAAATTTTGCTGTTTTGTTGCCTATCTAAAGTACTAAGAATGGAGTCTGATCTGTAGTAGGTAGTCAACAATATCTCTTAAATGTGTCTATCTCTAATACCATGGCAGACCCAAGTTCGATTCCTCCACTCCTCTCGGAGAGCCCGGCAAGCTACCCAGAGTATCTCGCCCACACGGCAGGGCCTGGCAAGCTCCCCGTGATGTATTCGATATGCCAGACACAGTAACAACAAATTCTTTTAAATATATTTTATTTAATTAAATAATAGTGATTTATAAAGTTGTTGATAGTTGAGATTTAAGCCTATAGTATTTTTCCCCAAGAATTGCTTCAGCTATTCATGGAGACTTATTGTTCCATATGGATTTCAGGAGTGTTTGATCAATTTCTTTGAGAAATGTCATGGGTATCCTTACAGAGATCACATTGAATCTGTATAATGCTTTGGGGAATATTGCCATTTTGACAATGTTAATTCTCCCAATCCATGAGCAGGGGATGTGTTTCCATTTCCTCGTGTCCTCTTTTATTTCTTGAAGTAGTTTTTTGTAGTTTCCTTTGTACGGGTCCTTTACCTTAAGCTGATTCTGAGGTACTTGATTTTCTGGGGCATGATTGTGAATGGGATTGTTTTTTCATATCACTTCCTTCTCTTTCACTATTTGCATATGGGAAGGCCATGGGCTTTTGGGTATTGATTTTGTAGCCTGCAACTTTACTATACAAGTCTATTGTTTCTAAGAGCTTCTTGATAGAGGCTTTAGGGTTCTCTAAGTATAGTATCATGTGTCCTGCAAATGGTGAGAGCTAGCATATAGTATTTCAACACCAATCCCACCTCTAGGGCCACATCAAATACTTAACTTCAATGTCACTCTGTACTGTACCTGTGATCATGACGGTCCTTATTCGGGCTGAGATGAGCTCTTCCAGGACAGGCTTTGTCTCTTCCTTTAACCGATTCTCCAAGACCAGCAAGCCCAGAAAAATCAAGTCTGACTCTACCTTGTCCCTGGGAGAATATTCACAGTTGGACAGTAAGAGCACATTATCAGATTTCTTTTTTTTACAGAATGCAGTACAAAAGAAAAAGCAAATAGCTTTTATTTGACAGGAGCACCACTCCCTCATTTAAGCACCAGCTCTAAGCCATTCCTTAGTATGTACGGATTCTAGCTAAAAGCAAGACAGGAAGAGATGCAGAGTTCCTGAGACGTTTCCCATGACTGAATCAAGAGCAATAGAGAGCACTCATTAAGCCAAAAAATTATTTCAATCTTCTAATAAGTGAAATGATTGCAAGGAGCTCTTCTCTCTGCTGTGGCTAGCTTTATTTCCATCAACTCACTGTTACCATCCACCAGAGAAGAATCTGGGTCTGATAAAAATGTCACAGAAGGAAAATGAAAGGAGGAGACCTAAGAAAAGCAAAACGCCATTTTCCTGTAAAAACCCAGGCTGTAATTAATTCTGCCTTAGCCCTCATGAAGTCTGAGTTCAGAGTCTGAAAAAAGCAGTACCCCTGGGGCTGAGAGTCAGCTCAAAAGTCTGGCAAGCATGCTGAGAGCAATTCCCTGAATTCTGAACTGCAAGGCAACAGTCACCCTGAGAGCAGCACAGTGAGATGTGGTCATAATGAAGCAAAATAAACCAGCACGTCTTTTAAGGCCAAGCTCATCTTCGTTTTTTTCTTTTTTCCAGAATAAAATTTCTCTTGGTTCATGCAGCCAGTAGCTCTGCTTTTCTCTACCAAGCATGAATATTTGTGAAATTCAGTCAGGCCACTGAGGCACTCATCCACCATAAGAAGCATTTTAAGACCTTCCATGGGACTAGTTCCATAGGAGTGAATTTGTAATGGGGGGAGTGGGTTCAAGGAGTCCTCCAAGATGCATGATCTGGACACCTCCAGAATACACAAAAGCAAGATGCTAGTACCGCCTGGATCTAGCCAAAACATAGATGAAAACAGCAGACGAAAGTCCTCTGGAGCCTCACGGTGGCCAAGGACGTAGACTAGAATTAGCAATGCTCTGTGGACACTGCTGGAGCCTCAACCAGAGTGGAAGAAGTACAGTTTGAACTACACTCCTCAGAGATGGCAAGGGAGGATGGTGTTTTTCCCATTCTGCACCTGGTACTTTCCTCACTTAATTATAAACTACCTTTTCTTCCTCATCTAAATTTTTTTACTCGCCCTCTAGCCAAGTTGAGCCTTGGAGGTGCTCTGCCTTCAATCATCCTTAAACGTTCACTCCAGACTGCTATGAGATCTTCTTTCTTGTCTGTGGAAAAGTTTGGATGTTATTTCCGATGCAACATTGAAATTCTGATTATGCTTTGAGAGCCAGAACTTAAATATCTCCCCCATAAAGCGTTCCCCAGAGAGAAATCATTGTTTTTGGCTAGAGAAATAGTACAGGAATTAAGATACTTGCCTTTCGTGCATGAGAGCTAGGTGCAGTCCTTAGAGTGAGCAAGCAGGCAAGCAAGGGAGAGAGAGAGAGAGAGAGAGAGAGAGAGAGTGAGAGAGAAAGAGAGAGAGAGACGAGACAGAGACAGAAAGACAGATAAAGACAAAGATACAGGAAACGACTGAAAGAGAGAATCCTATGAAATGAAAGAGAAATTTAATCATTACGGGACAGAGGAATTAAAAATCTTCCTGAATGAGGTAATATTGGAGCTAGTCTTTGAAAAGCTAAGTTGATGCCTAATTGAATTCTTCTATTCGTTCAGTCTTTCTAGTAGCCCTCATATTCGGACTTGAGGCTTTAGATGCTTCCAGCTATGACACAACACAAGTTTCTTGTGAGGCCAAAGGTTCAGGCAAAAAATTACTTCATGGTTTAGCATCATCATAGTAAGTGGCCCACCTTAATACTTAATTTTTGGTTCCTTTGGTGTGCTGCCTTTACCAGTTACAACACACAGTAACCAGGAGAACAGCATCATCATTTCCTTTCTGTGTGATTGGAAGTAAATCATTTTTTTGGTGATATATTTCTTCTTTTGTTAAAGAAAGTGGTGAAAAAATGGATCTTCAAAGTCTTTTTATCTCTAATCTTTTATAATTTTTATGAGTGTTCAATCAGAGCCAAAAATAAAGAGAAGCAGTTCCTTAAGGCAACTCAAGCTCGCTCCACGACTAGATGAGCATGCTGTTTTTCCTGCTTCCTGCAGATATTATATCTCCTGCTCAAATGTCTAGAAGTAATAAAAATAGAGAATGTGTAATACAACAGGAGCATTATCAGCCCTGTGATTACACTTCATGTTCTTAAAATTTTTTGATATTTTTAAAGGATGAATTTTACAGAGGTATGCCAAAAGTCCTCAGAGAAATTATGGTATCAGTGTTGGGACCATTCTGAGTACGGATAATACACACATACACACACACACACACACACATCACATGCATTCTACACACACACCACACATACCACACACACATATGCACCACACACATATACACACATATATACCACACACACACACACACACACACACACACGAGAAAGCCTTATCAGGGACCCACAAAGGGCTAGGTAAATTAGCTTTATTATGAGAATAAATAGTAGTAATTTAGTTTTAATACATGAAAGGCAAGCTGATGATTAGATACAACTAATGAGCTTGTGCTTAGACTTTATCAGACTTTGCCATTGTCTGGGTCACGCACTCTGCCATATGCCATAGGCCTCACCATTCCCTATTGCTTGTATAACTCCACTCTGAATGCTTCATCATATGCCCAAGTACCAAGCAATGAGTTTGAAACTTGTGAATTACAAATATTATAATAATCAGAAGAGTGGCATGATAGTCAGAGAACATATCTGTCACTATGTTCTCAGGAAACTAAATTCTGTACCCAATTGTGACATTCCCAAGTTTCCTCCTCTTTAAAATGTGAGATCCAAGAATTGGGCATCTACTGATACACTTAAAGTAATATATTCAGTCTTCATTTCATAATAAAGTGCACTAGATATATATTATATACATACACGTGTACATATACAAGATGCATCATATAATATATACATACACAATATATTATGTATAACTACATATATAATATATTGTATAAATATATACATGTTATATATTGTATAATAAATATATATTATATAAATATTATGCATTTATTATCTCTTACTTGAGTAGAGCTCACCAAGTTGAAAACAATAACCAAAATTGTAATATCCAAAGTTTTAAGGAACACATTAAGCTGACCCCAGAAAAAACAGTCCAATATTGACTGTCTGGAACACTGAACATGGCATTTGAAGGAGAAATAAGTATGATTAGCTTGATATTGGAGATATAAAACAACAAATAAATTTGAACTAATATACTCTCCAGTTCATTTAAATTTCTAAATACCCTTACTTCAATCACACATATCAATTTTCCCTAATAAGGTCCTTGAAAACTTTCCTTTTTTTTTTCTGGCAAGCATTACGTAGGTCAGTAGTCTTCAGTAACTAGTCTGATCCCCATAAACTTCCTGTTGGATCTGTGTGAGATGTACTACCACTTAGCACAGCGGCTTCTACCTACCAGTTCACAGAGTATTCCGCAGGTATAAAATGGTTGAAAAGCAACTGATCTAGACGGTGTTTGAAGTCCAAGCTATTTTTTTCTTTAAGTTATGTAGTTCTTTATGAATCAATTTTTCAAATGTGATGTTTTATAGCTATCAACCCACTTACAAGTAGAGTTTAAAAACTGACTACTGATATTTAGTTCAAATGAGGTTCAATGGGCTGGAGCGATAGCACAGTGGTAGGGCGTTTGCCTTGCATGCAGCCAGCCTGGTCGAGCCAGGTTCGATATCTCCACCCCTCTCGGAGAGCCTGGCAAGCTACTGAGAGTATCTCACCTGCACAGCAGAGCCTGGCAAGCTACCCATGACGTATTCAATATGCCAAACACAGTAACAACAAGTCTCAAAAAAATGAAGACGTACTGGGTCTGCTCGAGCAAATCGATGAAGGAGAGTGAGGTTCAATAATATTCAGTTGTCTAGTTTCACAAAGTCGCACCATCATATTCTAGTTTTCAGTGTATATAGCTGTTGCTTATAAGTTTCCCCTATCAGTATTCAGAGAAGCCTTGTGGTTTAGACAGAGCAGGGATACTACATCCATAGTGATGGATGTTCAGAAACATTGTGAACACATGAATCCAGAAAACTATGTTGTTTTGTCTATCATGTAGTCTTGGTACATCTTCCCATGGAACCATTTGGCTTTGTTAACTTCCACCTTACCTCGTCAAGGCATTGGCATGGTGGTCCATTTCCAGCTCTTTGTAGGCCAGTGCTATGACCCGGAAGCCCTGTGTCGTGTAAATCTGAAGTTCGCTAATAAAACTAGTTGGTACTGTTCAGAAAACAACACAGAATTAATATGCAATATTTGCTTAACTCTTATGGGTGGAGAAATTCTTTACAAATAGATAAAACTCTTGCTCATGGAAACACACCTTTAAAAAGGTACACAAGCAAGTTGAAGGGAATCTTTAACTAGAACTATATTGTCAGGGTTAACATCTTGGATTCCTTGAGGAAGAAATGAGAAAGAAGCAATTTTTTAAAAGGAAAGGTATTGGGGAATGTGGGGAGAATTCTTTTTTTACATAATCTATGCAAAAAGAAACATCTTGAGAGTATGGTAGGTCTGGCATTGAAAACTGAGGAAATTAAGCATAGGCTTCACTTTAATGACCTCTAGGTTGTTGGCTAGAAATAGAAGTCTAAAGATACCACTGCTATGATGTAGACAGTTGCAGTGCACTATCAAGGCATTTAGAGATGCATAAACCAGACTGGGAAGAAGTGCTTAGGTAAATACAGAAGGGAAAAAGAGCACCAGATGCGCAGGCAAAGTGGTAGAAAACAGTAAGCCTTGAATATTTGGACTCAGGGGAACTATAGGATATGAAGAGAGGTGTAGTAAGAGCTTACCTGGTGAGTCTGACATGAGCAGGCATTGAGTATTTTCTAAAGGAGTCTGAGACTATCCTATAACTTATGGATAACAAAAGAATAAAAGCAGGAAATTGGCAGCTTAGTTACAGGATGTGATGGAAAACCAGTCTGATCATATATGGAGGGTGATTCAGAATAAGAGACTGGGACCAGATAGTCAATTCACCGACTGTGAACAAATTCAGAGGCCCTCACAAAAAATGATGAGGGCCTGACCAGAAAGAGTGATAGAGCTGGTGATTAGCAATTGGCAAGATAGCGGCCCTGAGGGAGAGGAAAGACTCCTATATGAGGAGAAGAGAAGGAAAGTACTCACTTTCTACTATCTCATCTGGCAGCATTCACTGAGATGAAGACAATAGGAAGAGAGAAAGAAAAGTGATCTGGATATTGTGTTTGGAATGCCAATGGTCATCCTATCGGCAATGACTAGGAGGCAATTGGAGGCATAAATTAAGTACTGAGGAGACAAATTTAAGCTACAAATACAATTTTCTTCCCATTACAATATACTCACCTGTGTCAGCTTGACAAAAACTGGCCACAGTCTCTGGTGCACCTTTCATGAAAGCCAGCCGGCCACCCCCTATCTCTTGGACAATAACTGTCATCCTCTGCAATGCTGATGAGAATGGGAACTGATGCAGGATGGCAATTCCTTCCACTGGGACCTGGTTGAGGCATGGAGAGTGGAGGATGTCACACTAACACAGTTACTTTGGAAATTAACTACTTGCCTTTGATGCTTGCTTGAGCAAATACAGGAAATAAGAAAAGCAAAGGAAGGCTGACCCAGTTTCACCTAGAGATGCATCTGTAACCTTTCCCAGCAAAGGGTTTGTAAGGACTTTTCCCTTGGGTTTGGGTGTTTAGGGTAGAGAGGAGGCAAGAGTCAGAGAGAGAGAGAAAGGGAGAGACAGAGGGAGAGAAGGGGAGTGAGAGAGAGAGAGAGAGAGAGAGAGAGAGAGAGAGAGAGGAAGAAGAAAAGTGCCTGCCATAGATGCAGATAGGGATAGAGGTGGGAGACTGGGGACATTGGTAGTGGGAAATGTACACAGGTTAAGGAATGCGTATTGTATCATTGTATGACTAAAATCCAATCATAAACAACTTTTTAACTGTGTATCTCACTGTGACTCCATTAAAATTTTTTTTAAAAAAATTACAAAATAAAACCTTACCTGGCTGCCTGTTCTGCAAGGCTTAACCACCAAAGCTTGTGCTGGCACTCCTTTGACATGGAAATCAACCCCAGAAGTGACCATTTCCTATTCACAAATAGGATATTTTATTGTAGAGATTTGGGTTTTGTTCATCCACTGGTACTATCCTCAACAAAACAGGGCCACTTCAATAGATTCTTGGTGTTTCCTCCCCCTGCTTGCAAGAAGGAAGGTAAACCCCAGCTTATTTCAACACATGGGGGGAAAGCATTGAAAATGCTGTGGAATTTGAAGGGCAAATACTTCTGAATTATTCATGCAATTTATCCTGCTTTCTCCATTCAAATGTGCTGTATAAAGGCTCACTCTCCATATCTGAGAAGCTTAACTTGAAAATAGTGCTCATGAAGAACTGACATAGTGTGTGAAGCAAGCACCTGATGGTCTTTCTTTTCCTGGCATTCGCTGCTATTCCTGTTCTTCCCTCTGTCTAATTTGGATTGATGGTCCTCGGGGTGTGGCAGGGCAGGGACTATAATATATGTGCTTAATGTTCAGTAAACACTCAGTAATAGCTGTAATAATGACAGTAGATTATAGTCAAAAGAACCTTTTACCAAAGATATTAAAATGCTTTGTAATCATATTATTTAGTGGCAGAAGAAAACTACTCTCCAGAGAGGAAATTCTAATCCCTACTTAAAGATACAGAATCAGTAATGCAGAAAGGATGAAGGATTGGCGATGTTCCACCAGGCTGCTGTGGAAATCTTTGGTTTTGTGCCTGGCATGTATTATAGGTTTAGTAACTTTCTGCAGTTATAATTGTTATATAGTTATTTCAAATTCTTTAGATTTAGTATGAACTGTACTTGGTTCAAAGTCTACTAGAGCAAGACAGGATTCTAACCCCCATGAGGGTTCACACACAAATCTCTCAGGTCCAAATCTGCAAAATATGTATTCCCCAGCATTCACCTTTATGCCTTTCCTCGCTCTCTTCAAGTTCAACAAAGTCCAACTACTTACTCTTGCAGGCTGCTTCTGACTAGCATTTCCTCTTTTAAAAGAGATTCCAAATTTCTGTTCTGTTTTGCTCTACTTCGCATGGATGCTGCTGATAAAACTCAACCCCCTATTTTATGGTTGAGGTGCCAAAACTTCCACGGGAAAGAGAACTTCACATGGCCAGTCAGTGACAAGCCAAAGCTAAAACTAGGAGAGTCAGAGCTCTCATCCCAAAAATCCCAGTTGCTGTTAAATCTAATTCATAAACTTAGCCAAAGCTCTTTCATGGCTTTCCTTCTTTACCATTTCCAGTCCTAGAAATAAAATGAATACCAAATTCACAGGACTAACACTCTTGGTCACAATGAGTTATCATCCTGGAAAGAGTGATAATTCCTAATGCCTAGGTTCTTGAAAGCTTTGAAACCAAGTACCACTTCGACTAAATCTAAAGGATTGGGAAATAGTTGCATAACAATTCTAACTCTATAAAGTCATTGAGACTATAATTCATGCCACAAAACCAAAAATCCTTTAATGCAATATTCCCTTAATCCTCACAACACCCTGCAAGGAAGAAAGAGTTTGATTTGTCTATGGTGACCGCCCTTCACTTCTCTGTGGATCCAATACAGACAACCACACTTTTTGTGAGTAAACTGTTATATTAAACCTCTGTAATGCAGACATTGAAGTTTTTTAGATTCTGGACAGAGCTGAGTCTTACCCAGGTGGTGGCTTCAAACATTTTGAGGTCCAGAGGGTCTCCCTGGATGGTCCCGTTCAGAAGGATGAGAGAATGGCAGCTGGCCATGGCAGCGCACAGAGGGCTCCAAGGCAAGACCTTGCCTGAGGCAAAGGTGTGGACCTGCTGGAAACTAAAGGAGAAAAGGGACTAAAGCCTCATCTTGGACATGGAGAGTATCAAGCTAAGCGAAATGAGTCAGAAAGAGGGACAGACATAGAATGACTGCACTCATTTGTGGAATATAAAATAACATAATATGAGGCTAACACCCAAGGACAGTAGAGACAAGAAACAGGAAGGTAGCTCCATCGTTGGAAGCCTGCCTCATGAGCTATTGGAGAAGGCAGCTGGGATAGAGAAGGATCACCAAATCAATGATGGTTGGAGGGATCACTTGGGATGGGAGATGTGTGCTGAAAGTAGATAAAGGACCAAACGCAATGGACCCTCAGTATCTGTATTGCAAACTTAATGCCCCAAAGTAGAGACAGCATAAGAGGAAAATTATCCGCCATAGAGGCAGGAGGAGAGGTGGACTGGGGGTGAAATACTGAGGACAATGGTGGTGGAAAATGTATACTGCTGGAGGGATGAGTGTTCGGTCATTGTACAACTGAAACTCAAACATGAAAGCTTTGTAACTGTATCTCATGTTGATTCAATTAAAAGATAAATAAATAAGAAAGAAAAATAATAAATTATACTATAATCACTTTCATCTAGGTAGGCTGAAAAAAAATAAAAGCTCCATCTTTACTCCTCCATGCAAAAATTGAGGTTGTTTGAGAATGAATGTCTATGACTATTTTTGTTAAATCTAATATAGGGACAGGAAAATAGGTCAGTGGTCAGGGATGCTCTGGCATGCACAGACACCTGTGTTCAAACCCTGGTATCCCAGACCCCCATCCAGCATTTCCAGGTCCAACCCTAGTGACTCTGAGCAGCACCACTTCAAGAGACCTGAACAATGAACCATTTGGCCCAGTTGACTGAATATCCCTAACAATAGTCCTGGATCCTGAGCACACTTGGGAGACCTGCTGCAAGTTAATATGTTCCTTTACATTAGTACCCGCTTTCATATCATCCTTATAAAAGTATAAGAAGGTCTTTGAGGTTCTTTTGAGCTCTTCCCTCTTTCCATTGACAATGATTTAATTCCAGACATATGAAAAGAACAAGAAAATTTACCTTACTTCCAGCACATCAAATGTACCTCACTACCAGTGCTTTCTTTCCCATCAGAACAAGGGCAGAACAGGCTAGAGTATACTACAGAGAGAGGTGCTTGCCTCTTCCTCAATTCCTCCTTCAGGGCAGGCTGTGTTCTCTGCACCTCTTTCTCCCAACATAGCTGATATAAAACCCACAAAGACTGCCAACACATCTGAAAACCACCCGAACTAATCACCACCATGCTCATGGACAATCTCCACACACTTAAGACGAATCTCACACATGAGAATGAATCTACTGAAAAACCTAGGTATGCAGGATTTATAAGCAAAATCTCCTGGCTCTTATGAAGTCAGGAATGGGTGAACTCCCATTTCCCTGTTCTTCCCGAAGCCTGGCAGTCATGCCTATGAACTGCCTCTAGCACATACAAACTCATTAAAAGCCATGACCCAGAGACTCACAAATAAATCTTGGAAGAGAGTCACAAGCTGCAGATATGCCACCAGACCCCAGAGTCACCATCCAGTTAAAAATTTAACTCCTGCTCTATCACCGTAAAATTTTTAGAATTCCTGGACATATTCTCTAAACCACTGATGTACCAGGAGTAATACACCACATTTGAGGGGGTGTAAAGTAGAAGATAACCAATCTCAATCAAAAAATATATATTAGTACACAAGCCTCAACCTATAACAACATGTTAGTAATTATTTTAATCATTTTTAGTGGGTTATTCTTGAGCTTATTTGCCAATGTGGTTTGGCGCATGCCTCAGGCAACCGCAAGCGAATGTCTAAGCTCTCAAAGCAGTGCAGAGATGCAATCAAGGAAGACCTCAAAGAGAGAAGAGCAGAAGTACTGGTAGATGCAGCAGAAGCCTGCATCTGCTGCATTTGTAAATGCCTGCCTGTCCTTCACCAACTACAAGACCAAAATGACTGCCCTCCAACGTCCTGATGGTTCTATCACATCTTTCAAAAGGGTAATGGAGGAGATTATTCATGACTTCTACTCAGATCTCTTCGATAGCCATGTCTACCTGCCCACATACCAAATTCTACAGGATGGATATGTCGTTTCCAATGTTCTCCCTTCTGAAATCTGACACACCATTTCATCGGTAAAGAAACGAACAGCACCCAGCCCAGACAAACTCAGACCTGAACACCTGAAAAACCTGCTGTCAGTACTCATCAATACTCTTCACACACTACCTGTTTGAATGCAAGGTTCCGTCCCAATGGAAAATCAGCAGGACTATACTACTGTACAAGAAGGGAGACATCCATGACATTGGCAACTATCGCCTGATCTGCCTATTATCTGTCATCTACAAGCTGTTCACTCGAGTCATCCTAAATAGGATTAGCAGAACACTAGATGAAGGACAACCATGCGAGCAAGCCAGGTTCCGCAAAGGATTCAGCACCATCGACCATATCCACACGATAACCAAGCTCATTGAGGTTTCTCAGGAGTTCAAGATGCTGCTCTGTTTAACGTTCATTGATTTAAAGAAGGCCTTTGATTCTGTTGAGACGGAAGCAGTCATTGAAGCCCTAGCCAATCAGGGCATTCAAGCCCAATACATCAAGATCCTCTGTGAGCTGTATTGCGGATTCACTACCAGGATCTCACCATTCTACAAAGAAGTAATCATTGATGTCAAGAGAGGGGTTCGGCAGGGTGATACCATTTCACCAAAACTCTTCAGTGCAACCCTCGAGAACATCATGCGACGACTGGAATGGGAAGGAATGGGAGTGATGATAGATGGTCGGCAACTACACCACCTCCGCTTTGCTGATGACATTGTTTTAATAACACCAAACATCAGCCAAGCGGCACAAATGCTGGCCGACTTTGACCGTGAGTGTGGAAAGGTAGGACTACAGCTGAATCTCACGAAGACAATGTATATGAGAAACAGCCTTCTTCCTGACGCTCCATTCACTCTCAACGGAATGACCATCTTCGAATGCAACAGTTATGTGTACCTCAGCTTCAGGCACATCTCTTCGATTCCACTGTTCTTCCTGCATTAACATACACCTCAGAGACCTGGGCTCTATCAAACAGGATGAGAACACTATTCGGGTCTTCCAAAGAGGAATTAAAAGAGCTATGCTTGGAATATCACATTTCACTCAAATGAGAGAAAGAATCCAGAGTTCCGACCTCCGTTGACAATCAAGAATCAGGGACGCTGTCTCATTTGCCAAGGCGTCGAAAATCAGATGGGCTGGACATGTAATGAGATTTGGAGACTACCGCTGGACTAAAGCTGTTACTGACTGGATTCCAGGGGACGTCAAAAGACCACGTGGCCGCCCACCTACCAGATGGTCAGACTTCTTCATCAAGACCTGGTACAATTGGTTTGAGGCTCTTCGTGTTCCTAGAATGAACAGACGCCATTGGGCTACACTAGCACGTGACAGGGACAAATGGAGACATTACTGGCGCCCACTAGAGCAAATTGACAATGGGAAGTCAAGTGATCAAGTGATCATTAATAAGCAATACAAAATAAATTATTTAGGATCTGCCTCTGGGGCAGGTTTGGGTGGTGGTGGGAAAATTTGAAATAATGATGCTGGGAAGGTGCAATGGTGGTGGGGTTAGTTTGGAATATTGAAAGCAATAAATTATTGTGAACAACTTTACAAAAATTAAAAAATAGTAAAATAAAATTTTTAAAAAGACTGCCAACAAATATATGTATAAATGAATGAATGAATGAATGAATGACTTGACTACAGAGAATCTAAACAACCCTTGCAAAGGACACAACATTCTTTTCCCCAGTCACCATCACCATCACTTCCAATAGGAAGGAGCATATCCAAAACCTACTGAGACACAACTCAAATACCAGCAGCAGGCTTCTTTCTTTACTAATCCTCGAGCTGAAGCCATCTGAGTTGATCTTTATCCCATAGAGAAAGACATGGAAGCAGTTGCCAGTGCCTTCTTAATTAGTTGACAGTAGGTGACTCACACAGGGGCCCATCCTTTGTGGAGGATCTCTGGGTAGGAGAAGCTACTTTCTGAATGAAGGCAAATCGGCTTCTCAGAGCCAGTCAGAATCCCTTTTCTCTTGCTTCAGATGCCATATCCATTGAGCTCTTTGAACCCGCTTGGCTGTACCTTTTTATTCTCCTTCCACGGGTTCCATTGTTCTTTTCTTTTATTTTTTAAATTTTTTTTTATGGTCACTGTCCTCCCATTGTTCATCAATTTCCTCAAGAAGGTACAGTAACATTGTGAGACTTGTTACTGTGTTTGGCATATTGAATACGTCATGGGTAGCATACCAGGCTTTGCCGTGCAGGCGAGATACTCTCGGTAGCTTGCCGGGCTCTCGGAAAGGGGCAGAGGAATGGAACTTGGGTTGGCTCGGGTGACCACGTGCAAGGCAAATGCCCTGCCCTCTGTGTTATTGCTCAAAAAAAAAAGTGCTCAAAATCTTGGAAATATCAACAGCATGACTTCTCATATTCACACACACTGGGAGGTCTAGTCTGCCTTTTATTAGTGATAAAAATTAACTGAATGGTTGTTATTCAGACTCATGAAAGAATTTGTTCTATTAGTTTAGAGCCAAATTGTTTTTTAATTTTTTATTTTGCTTTTGGGGTCACACCCGGCGATGCACAGGGGTTACTCCTGGCTCATGCACTCAGGAATCACTCCTGGCAGTGCTCGGGGAACCATATGGGATGCTGAAAACCGAACCCGGGTCATCTGTGTGCAAGGCAAATGCCATACTCACTGTGCTATTGCTCTAGCCCCATAACTTTTATCAACTATTCTGATGATGGGCTGGAGCAATGGCACAGCGAGTAGGGCGTTTGCCTTGAACGTGGCCAACCCGGGTTCAATTCCTCCGTCCCCCTCAGAGAGCCCAGCAAGCTACCGAGAGTATCTTGCCCACACGGCAGA